GACTCAACACTGTAGAGATGTCAGTATTCCTCAAGCTGTTTTGTAGCAATAATGAATTCCAAGTCAAAATGGGTGGGTCAGAGATTTAGCTCAGCAAGGTCCTGAGTTCGATCCCTGGGGAAAAAAAGCCCCTGTGTTGTTCCCATTGGAACTGACAGATAGCTTTAAGTTTGACGTGGCAAGCAGGCATGGCAGCATCTGTAGTCCTAGCTACTTGGCAGGCTGAAACAGGAAGACTACTTGAGCTCAGGAGTTAGGTGCCTAACTGGGCAACATAATGAGACTCCATTTAAAAATAAGAGGTTTTTGGGGCCAGGGATTTAGCTCAGCGGTTCCGGCGCCTGCCTCGCAAGTGCAAGGTCCTGAGTTCGATCCCTGGTACCAAGAAAAAAAATAAAATAAAATAAGGGGGTTTTTTTGTTTTCCATTTTGTTTCAGGTACTAGGGATTGAACCCAGAGCCTTTACACTGAGCTATATTCCCAACCTTTTTTATTTTGAGATGGTTCTTGCTAAATTGCTAAACTGCTTAGACTGGCCTCAAACTTTTGATCCTCCTGCCTCAGCCTTCTAGAGTGCTGGGATTACAGGCATGTCCCACACAACACCTAGCTGAAAATTTCTTAAATGAGTAACAAAGAGCACTAACTAAAATGGAATCACCAATCAAAAGGCTTCAAAAATAAGAACTGATCATCAGAAGATGCTGTAATCAGTTAAGCCACAGAGTTGGAAGAGATATTTGCAACACACCTTACTAACAATATCAAGAGTGTATAGGGCCTGGGGCCGGGGATTTAGCTCAGTGGTTCTCGCGCCTGCCTCACAAGTGCAAGGTCCCGAGTTCGATCCCTGATACCAAAAAAAAAAAGAGTGTATAAAAGAAAGCCTATAGATTTATTAAAAACATCAGGTAAAAAGCAGGCAAAAGAGGTGAAGAGACACTTCACAGGAGACAAAACCAACATAGTTAATTCACCATGCTCAATTTCCTTAGTGTGAGCTAACTGCAAACTAAAACCAGAATTGAACACCCACCAGACTGGGAATGTGAAAAGCCTGGCAAAGCCTCGGGTGGGCAGGACCCGGAGCTGAAGGGCTTCTCTTACTGTCACGGGCACGTGCCCTAGAGCGCTGTTCCAGAAAAGCAGAAAGAAGGCCCTGGAGCCCGGACAGTGGGGATCCCACAATGGGAACAGCCCAGTGCCGGATCTCACAGGGGGCTTCCAGTACCGAGCTGCACTCACCAGCGGAGCAAATCCCACTGAGGCGCCAGTGGCCAGACGCCAAAGCTTGCGTCTGCTCTGTGTGGTTCCAATGCCATAAAACACAAAAACAGGAAAAGGCTGGGAAGGATGCATAATTGGGCAGTGGAGGCTTTCGGGGAAAATAAGAACACAAGACACAAAGACAGGGCAGGATGCCAGGTGCAGTGGTGTAAGTCTACAATCCTGGCACTCTGGGAGGCTGAGGCAGGAGGATCACAAGTTTGAGGCCAGCCTGGGAAAATTAGCAACTTAGAGAGATCCTGTCTCAAAGTAAAAAATAAAATAAAAAGGGCTAGTACGTAGCTCAGTGCAAAGGCCCTGGGTTCAAACCCCAGTACTGTAAAAAACAAAAAAAACAAAAAGAAAAGAAAAACAGAGGCCATGTGGGAGGAGAGGGCACCTGGATGCTGCAGGCTCCCTTCTGAGCTTGCTGGATGTGCATAAGAATTTGTCAGGCTGCGGTGTATATGTTTTATTCACTTTGTTTTATTCCACAGGAAATGAGGAAATGAGCAGCCCAGGGTATGGGCAGGGAGAAGGCCAGAGGGCAACTTGAGGGCAGGGGTCAGGCAGCCTCTGAGGGTCCTGTGGCCTCAGACAGGGCCTGTAGGAAGAGGTGTGCTCCCCGCTCCCATCGCCCCAGGGCCAAAGTGCGGCTGCACTGGTGGAGCATCAGGGTTGCAGCCTCCGCTCCTCTAGACACACGGTGCCTGTGTGACCGTGGGGTTGTCTGCTCACTTTCCGCCAGGGCCTGGTCATGCTCAGGACCCTCTGCTTCTGGGCCGCAGAAAAATGGGGGTGGCAGGGCCAGCCGAGGGCAACCCTGGTCCTGGTGAGCAGTGAGAAGCCCTTGCCTTTCCTGCCTCAGCCCACCCTGGCCCTGCCTGGGAGGCGGAAGCCTCTCAGGGCTGAGTCCTAGCCCCCACCAGCAGGGGAACTCCCCACTCGGGACCTGGAGCAACTCCAACTCGTGAGGGGTCGGTTCTGCTTCTAAAGTCATCTCTGGGGTGGGGTGGCAGAGCGCGGCCTAACCTGAGGAACTGGTCATCCCCAGCACTGCAAAAATAATCAAAAACTGTGCGTGGCGGCACATGCCTGTAATCCCACCCCTTAGGAGGCTGATGCAGGAGGAGTGCCCTGAGTTCGAGGCCAGCCTGAGCAACATAGCAAGACCCTGTCTCAAAAAAAAAAATCATAATAAAGAAAAAAATAAAAATACTCAATTAAAAATCTGAACAAACAAAAAAGCAAAAGGCACAGACTTTCAGGTCAATTGTAGGAAACATAAGACACGGCTTGTTCAGCTTGGGGGAGCAGCCTACAGTCCTGGGGCCTTCCCCAAGCCCTGGACAGAACCGGCTCTGCCTGTATCATGCCAGGATGGGTCCCAGCCCCCTGCAAGCCTCAGGCTCTATGGGCACAGTGGGGAAGCAGGGCCTTCTGAGGTCGGCTTTGTTCCCCAGAGCTGTGGCCCCGAGGAGCCAGCCGGACACACAAACGAGAGCTGTCAGTGTAAAGACTGAGGTCACTGGGAGCCAGGCAGGCGAGGATCTTGGCTTCAGGCAGAGAAGCAGGGCTGAGCTATACAAGGAGCCTAGGGAGGCTGGGACAGGCACACAGCCAAGTTCCCGGCCCAGCACCCCCGAGGCACAAAGTGCTCTGGAGGCGGGTCATGCCCCCCAGGCGGAGAACACCCACAGCAGTCTGGTCGGGAACCCCCATCACTCTTGCTGGTGAGGCCCTGGCACAGAGCACCCAGCTGTGTCAGCCAGCGCAGACCCTGGGGTGGGACTGGGTGCTGCCCAGTGTAACCCACACCCCTTCCAGACAGGCGCCCTCATCTGGGACAGGAGCCCTGAGCCAGCCCCAGCTCAGCTTGACAAAGTAGCGCTGTCCCGGCTCCGCTTCTGCACCCCAAGAATGGGACTGTGGCCACAGTGGGCAGTGGGGGCCCCCAAGTCCCCAACAGGCAACATGGGGCAAAGAATCCCGACCACGGGCAGGAGAGTGGCTGGTTTCCCAGGGATAGTGCAGAACACGCTGGGCTCCCTGGCCCCTCGCCCAGGCAGGCTGAAGAGGAAACAGCACAGGGTGGGGCAAGCACTGGTTCCTGGCTGGGACACCCTCAGGGCCTGTCCTCACCCTGCGCCCCACAGTGCACAGGGGCCGCCCATCTGCTCACCTCGCTCATCCAGTAAACCACAGGCCCCCAGGGCTGTGCCCTGGACAGTCAGCCGCTGGTGGCCCCAGTGCAGGCCGCCAGGTAGGTTTCATCTTACGACCTCCCCCTTCCCCAACGCAGAGAGCGAGGAGCAGATGATCCTGGTTCCCAGCCAGCCCCGGCCCAGCCACATTTCCTTTCCTGCTGGAATTCCATGGCGGGTCTGTGCCTGAGCCAGGTGGCACCCAGAGGACTCGGGACCTGGAGCCCTGGCCTGTGCAGGGGCCTCCCATCCCCAGGAGGTCCTGGCTGTCCCTGCACACCCAGCAGCCCTGAGCCCTGCGCCGCCTGCACCATGAGCTGGGCCAAATTCAGGCAGAGGCATCGCAGCCACACCCAGTGGCCCAGACCAGGCTCGGGAGGCTCTCAGACTATTGGCTAAAGCAGCAAACTGGCGAGCGCAGACGTGGGGCCTTCAGCCCTGCACCCTGCCGCGGGCCCCAGGTGCCGGTGCGGGCTATAAGCCAACCGCCACATGTGGCCCTGAGCTGCTCCAGGTCTGGGCACCGGGGAGGGACTCAGCAGCCTGGGGCACCACCTCTTTGGGTCCTGTGCTGCTGATAGCCATTTTGGGGAAAATCATTTCATGATTAAAGTATGCTATAGCCAAGGCCCAATGTCACCTTGCCTGCGAGCCACTTTGGGGGTGGAAACAACTCCGTTTTGACTCAGGTCACAAGTTAAGGCCTCAATGGTCTGTGATTCTGTGACACTCGAGGGCAGGAGAACATCAGCTCTGCTACTGCAAGAATGCTCGCCATACCGCCCCCATCAACGTAAGAGCCTCAGCACCTGCGACCCTCACCAACATGGGATTCTACTCTGTCACCCGATGCTCCTCCCATTACTGTGTGCACCCAATAAACAGCGGCCGGCTCGGAGAGTCCTTGTCTTTGCCCGCTCTGAGGCACTGACCTCCCGGCCCCCATGTACCCTGAAGTTACACACGTCTCTACTGTCTCTCTTCAGCCCTTGCCATGCCCCTTTCTAGGCAGCTGGAGGACTAATCGCCCTCCCATACTGTGAGCCGCGCTCCACGTACACATCGGAGAACAACAGCCCCTCCTTCCAATCAAGCCAGGCTGTGGGGCAAAGTTTGTCTTGGATTTATTGGGAGCACGGGCCCCATGAGGAGCCTGGATCTCATAGTACCCTGGGTCCTAGGGCCAGCCCCAGCCCCAGACTGGCCCAGCCCCCCTGGCCCCAGCCACTGCCACATGGCACACATCCTGTCCTGAAAGCGAGGCAGGGCTCCGTCCTGAGTCCCAGGCTTCTGGAGGTGTGACAGGCGGGGTCAGCTGGGTCCGGGAGCTGACTAGTCCTCTGGAGCTAGAGCCGGGTCCAGCTGGGAGGCGGCCTGCTGGGAGGCCCCTGGCCAGGGTCCACAAAGTGTCTGGGGGACCCGGTGTCACACATGGCCCTCCCTCCTTGCTCAGCCTCCCATGCAGGCGTCTCCTCCACAGGGTGGGCCTGTGTCCTGTGGCTGCTTCTGCCCAGCAGCACGCTGAGGTGTCACCTGGGCCCGGTGTAGCCGTAGGGGTGCCGCAGCAGCAGGCTCTGGTGGCTGGGCAGCACGTGCGTGTGGTAGTGCTCCACCATGCTGCCCACGCTGGCGAACAGGACCTCGCCCTCCAGGTAGAACTTAGAGTCCTGCAGGGGCCGAAGACCAAGGTCAGCAGGGCCAGCCAGTGGCGCCTGAGCACGCCTCACCCAGAGCCCCATCTGTGAAAGGGCAGTCAGCAATCACAGTGACAAAGCTGGGCCCATGCCTGGCTGCCCCGGGTCCCCACGGCACTCCCAACACCCCAGGTCCCACGCGGAGCCCACACCCAGGGGCTGTGGCAAGGCGTGACTAAGGCCGGGGAGCAGGTCCGATCGCCGGCCCTCGCGGAGGCCTGTGTCCCGGGCCCACCTTCTCAAAGACGCGGTAGTTCCTCACTTTGTTGGAGGACTCATCCCACACGACCAGCACCTACAGGGAGAGAAGCGTGACACAGACAACTCAGCCGAGAGGCTGCAGGGCACCAGCTGGGCAGTGGGATCTCGGGGAGGTGAGGGACTGTGGGCCCTGTCTGCCAGTGGCGCTGCCCTCAGAGGGCGTCTGACGGCCCTGAGCAGCAGGCACCCCCAGAGCCACCTGACAGCAGAGGGCACGGCTCGGAGGGGTCACAGCTTGAGGGGAGAGGCAGTACTGGCCAACCTCCTGCCACTCCCTCCCCTGCCTGTGGGTGCGCCGGGGGCCTCCCCCCCATCACTGAATCCTGCCACTCAGCCACCCCCTCCTCCTCCCCATTGAGGGCCCCCAATTTGCAGGTGGCTTTCTGTGCCTCAGAAGAGAGGGAGGCTGCTGCGGGGCAGAGGTCCAAGGGCAGACTTTGTCTGGGTTGGAGCAGGATCCTGACTAAAGCCCCACCTTCGTCCACCTCAGCTGGGTGTGCACAGCCCAGGAGCCCCTACCTTGCCCAACTTGGTGGAGGAGTTCCGGATGCAGTACAGCCCGTCCTGGGGCTCTCCCCGGGGGCTGCTGGCTTTGAACAGCCTAAAACCAAACAGCCCCATGGACATGAGCCTCCTGGACGCTCTAGGACTCCAGCCCGCCACGCCCTGGCCTGCGCCCCATATGGAGTGGGAGGGTGATCGGCCTGGACCCAGCTGCACCTGGGGCCCGGGGCCTGGGCCAGGGACCGCCCACCACCAGGCTGGGGCCAGAGGGCTTGGCACCAACCTCTCCACTTCACAGGACTCCGTGGTGTTGACGAAGATGGAGCTGGGCAGCGGCACCTGGAAGAGCGCAGTGGTCAGCAGTGATGACCGCCTCCAGCCCCACCACTGCACGGGCCCAGGCTGACCCCCAGCCCCTTCAGCTCCCGGGCTCCCGGCCCAGCCCTGCCTTCTCGTAGTCCTCATCCGAGTCCTCCTCGCTGGGGTCAGCCTTCGAGGGTTGTCGGGGTTTTTCAAAGGAGAAGCTCCTGAAACTCTGCCCATCAGGGGGCGACCGCCTAGGGGTGAGGAGCAGAAGGCAGGACCTCAACACCCTGATGCATGCCACCTTCACTCCCCTTCACTCGTGGCCCACAGGCTGGGCGGCAGAACACAGGGCATCCGCAGGACCACGGAGCGCTGAGCCCTGTGCCCACTGACTGGGAGGGGGCAGGAATCAACTGGCCGAGGCGTGGCAGCCACCGATGTGACCAGGTTTCTGGGCATCCGAGCTCAGGTGTGGCCACACAGGGAGAAGACAGAGGTGAACAGGCTGGAGGGCAGCACAGTGAGCCCCGCACGCTCCCTGGGGGCCTGTGCCCTCCTCAGCCAGGACCACTGGGCCGTGGGTGAGGCTGAGCCTCGATGGCCCTTGGCATCTGCCAGGCCCGGGGTTGGTAAAACAACCGACAGCCGAACTCGTGTGAATCAGAACGACACGTGTGACGCAGCTTCTCCCAGCCCTTCCCATCAGCACCGGGGCTCAGAGATGCTGCAGGGTCGGGGAGAGGTGGGACTTGCAGGCGCCCGAGGCATGAAGCCCCCCAGGGCAGACCTTGTGGTAGGGCACTCATTGACCTCGAGGGAGCGGGGGACACCCCGGGCCCCTGGCACCAGCCCACAGTAGAGCAGGAGCCCAGTGCAGGCCCAGGGCTGTCAACAGCCACCAGACACGTTCCAGCCATTTCCCATAGGGGAGGACACAAAGGCGCCCTTCAGGGCTCTGGAGCAGAGACACAGGGGCCCCAGGCAAGGCTGGGACAGGGCCTGAAAGGCAGCTGGGGCTGCTGTCACACTCCTCCCCTGCTGCCCATCGCCCATCCTGGGCTCCAGGAGACAGGGAGCCCTGAGGCCACTGTGACTCTGTCCAAGGGGACCAGGTCCAGGGCCCTCTAGGCAGACTCCCACAGGGCAAGGCTGGGCGTCCCCATGTCCCTGAGCCAGGCTGGGGTCACCAGGGAACCTTCCCACCCTTTGTGGGCTCGGATGCCAGTGGGGGCACCAGGACACTGGCCAGAAACCAGGCCAGGTCAGGAGGGTCCCTGGGGCAGGAAGTGGGAATTGCAGCCCCCAGACTCACTGGAGGTGGGGCAGCGGCGGCTTCTCCGGCCGGGGCAGCACTGCGGGTCGAGGAGTGGCGTCAGGCAGCTTCAGCGCGGGAGGCCTGGGTGCCACGGGGGGTGCGAAGAGTCCAGGCCTGGCTGCCTCCCGTGGGGGGCCCTCTTCCACTATCTTGGGGAACTTGGGCTTATTGGTTGGCACGGGCGGGGGCTCGGATGTGGGCAGCCCCTGAGGGGACAGGTGGAAGGATTTGAGCTTGTCACAGTTCCTGGAAGTGGCAGAGGCAGTGCCGGCACAACTGAGGGCAGCGCTGGCCCCGAGGCCAGGTGTCCAGGGCTCTGGGCTGGGGCCGGCGCCCTCTCGGAAGCACGTGGGTTTCCACAGGCTGGGCCCGGCGGACAGGTTGCTGGGCGGGGGGTCACTCATCCTCCGGGGTGTGGCCGGTACCCTGGGGCCAGACTCGGCCCTCCTCAGCCCCAGCGGGTCCCTCTTGGTGTCCTCAGCGGGCCCGCTGGTGTCAGGAAGGCCCCGCTTCGGAGGCGGGGGTGGCAGCAGCGGGGCTGGGCCCTTAGAGTTGAAGGAGTGAGCTCGGGGCAGGTCGGAGAAGGTGGGCTTCCGGGTCGTGGGCACGGGGGGCGGCGGGTAGGCCGGCGGGTGAGTCAGGGAATCTGTGGAGCACAGGGCAGTGGGGCGGCGTCACCACCTCTGCTGGCAACAGTGGCCTCAGCATGCTCACCCCAGCCCAGCCCAGCCTCCCGTCTGCTCGCCCTGCCACATGGGCCTGCCCATCCGTCCTCACGGGAGGCACCTGAGCTTCCTGAAGCCAGAGTGCCATGTGGGTGGCCACAGGGCTCCAGGGGGGCTGCGGCAGGAAAGAGAGTCACAGCCCAGGCAGGGGGCGAGAGGGAGAGGACAGCCAGGGTTTGCTCATAAGGAGCTCAGAGTGCTGCAGGATGGCCTGGGGACATAACGCGAGGGGTCCAGGTGCAAGTCCAAGGGGAGGGGCCTGGGCCCTGGATGGAAGGGACAGGGAGGCCAAGAGGGGCTGCGGGAGAAGACAGGCTGGAGCCGGCTGGGCGGGAGGAAACCAGGCAGGGCTGAGAGGGACGAGCAGGGCCGGCCAGGCTAGGAGCAGGCAAGGCCAGCAGGCAGAGGCGCTGTGGGCCGGGCACGCAGAGACCAGGCTCCAGGAGGAGCAAGGAGGGCGGGGGAGGAGAGGAGCAGTTGGGACGGGGACAGAGACAGAGCAGCGGAATCCCGGAGTGTGCCTGGCACCGCCCTGGGACCCCACGTGTGACCCCTGGGCTTCAGTGCCAGGCTGCCCACAGCTGTGTTCCCTCCCTCAGGGCCCAAGGTGCTCTGAAGATTGTCATTTTTTTGTTCTTTTTGGTGGTACTCAGTTTTTTGAACCCAGAACCCTCACACTGAGCCACATCCCCAGCTTTTTGTATTTTTAATTCTGAGACAGGGTCTCACTGAGTTGCTGTCCCCAAGCTGGGCTTGAACTTGGCATCCCCAGGCCTCAGCCCCCAAGACTGCTAGGGCTACAGGTGTGCACCCCCACACCCAGCCCTGCACCGCTTAATACTTGGGTCCCAGCAAGGACACGGAGCCGCCAGCCCCACCCATCAGGAGAGCCCAGCGCCCCAGCCCTGCCTACCATCCAACTTCCCAGGCTCGGGGGAGTCAGGCTCCAAGTAGGAGTCGTCCTCGTCTTCGTGCTCATAGTCTGTGCAGAGGGTGGAGGCTGAGGGCCCTTGCCAGGCTGAGCGCAGGACAGGGTGGGGCTGCCAGGCCTCGGCGTGTGGGGTGAGGTTGGGCCGCTGGGTTTGAGCCCAGAAACCAGGCTGTGGGGCCCGGGGGGAGGCCACTGTCCCCCTGCTGGAGGACAGGGTGGGCACAGCTACACACACCCTGGTCAGGTGGGGCATGGGTGGGCACTGGCCTCACCTTCGTTGTCCGTGGGGTACGGGGAGAGGCTGATGTCCACCGGCCGCTCCACTGCACCATAGAAGCTGTCTGTGTCCGAGCTGGAGTCGCTGGTGTGTGGGGAGGAGACAGGGCCGGCGGTGACTCACAAACAGGGACACACATGTGCACACAGGGACATTCCCATAGACACTCAAAGACACTGAGGCAAGGACACATACTCACAGACACACACAGGGGCATGCAGCCACATGGACATGCCCTCACAGTGACATGCGGACCCCAACACATGTTCAGTCACAGGCTCACAGGGGCCGCAGGCTCTGGGGGTCACATGCTGGGTGCCACCCCACCCCGCCAAGGGCCTCAGGACTGGGCCTGCGTGTCCCCTGCCCCTGCCTGGAGGGCTCAGTCCACCAGCCTAGACTCAGTGCCCAACCATGAAAGGCTGGGATGGTTCACTGCTCCCCAGCAACCCCCAAGGCTCTGGGCCAGCTCACAGGTGAGTCTGCTGAGGCTCAACTGAGCCATGGCCCCGGGAACCCACTCGGCTCCCACCCCTGGGACCCCAAAGACCTGAGCTGCTGCCAAGGCAGGGCTCCCCGGTGGGGGGTTAAGAAACAAGTGACCCCAACGTAGGAGCTTCCAGAGGGCAGCTCGGGACAGGCAGGCAGGATGGAGCAGGGGAGACAGGAGCAGAGGACAGCACATACATGTGACCCCCCCACACACACAGAGAGCCCAGCTGGCACCCCCAGAAAAGCCCTTCACAGGGGCTTTGTCCCAGGGGCTGGAGAGGGACACACTCTGGCCCAGGACCCCAGGGACGGCCACCCGCATGGCACAGCCCGGCCCACCTGGTGTCCAGAGCCAGCTCCTTCTTCCCGTGGAAGTGGCCGATCTCCCGGCGCAGCAAGGCCATCCAGCTCTGCAGGTCAGAGGGGAGCAGTGGGCACGAAGCGAGCACAGACTGCAGGACAGGGCCCTCCCCCTTTTCCCCTCCCCACCTTGGCTGCCCTGTGGTGCCACCCGGGTCAGGAGCCGACCCTACCGGGTCCAGCAAGGCAGTGCGGCTCCAGCCCGGCCGTGCCCTCCCAGGCTGTGCCCCTCACCTTGGGGCTCTTCCCTGGCAGCGTGTGGAAGGCCTACACAGGGCCGACGCGGGCCTGCCTGGAGCAGGTGGGAGGCCGGGCCCGGGGTGAGCGGAGGCCCAAGGCCACCCCGCCTGGCCCACTGGTCCTGTCTCCGGCTCACCTTGCGCTCGTCCTCCGAGGAGGCAGAGAAGAACCACGTGCGGTGCTTCTTGCTGATGTGAATGATCTTGAAGGGGAAGACATTGTTGGACGTCGTCTCCTCAGCCGCCCGCATCACCCTAAGGGCACAGGGGTCACCTCCTGGTCCCCACTCACAGGGATAGCCTCATGACCCAGGCCTAGCATCACAATGGGAGGGACGGGGCTGATCTGGAAGGTCCCTGCCCACTGCATCTGCCGCTGGGCCCAGAGTTCGTGGCGTGGCTGGCACAGGCCCGAGGGTCGGCATCCAGGGAATGAGAAGGACTCCACAGGGAACCCCAAAGCTGCGGTCAGCTGCTGCCCACCTGCTGCCCACAGGGCCCTCAAGACCCTTCCTGCCTTGGCCAGTGCCCCAGGTTGGGACGTGGGGCCTGGCACTGGGCTGACGTCTTTGGCAAGGCTTCCACCAAGGGTGGCTCAGAAGCTGGAGCCTCAAGTGCATACCTGGTAGGGCGAGCACTAGGCTCCTAGGTTGCCCTGATGCCGCCCGACCCCGGTCCTCACAAGGAGGAGTGGCTGGGCCCTTACTGGGTGGTGAGAGGCACAGAGCCAGTGCTTCAGGGCCAGGACCAGGGCCCAGGAGCCAGCGTGTGCCCCTCTCCACAGGCCCCAGGCTTGCAGTGCCAGGTGCCCCTCACCCAGGGGCTCTGGCCCAGGCTCGCCTGCCCCTCGGTCTGGAAGCCCTGGAGGGCTGCTTGCTGGATGGAGTCTGGCCCTGACCTGTGGGCTGGGGAGGACCTGGAGCTAGAAGTCTGGGCAGGGCCTGGGCTGGACTGAGAAAGAGGCCACGGTGGGGAAGAAGAAATGCAGGAGGGAGGAGGGACCCATGAGTCCCTGGGCAGCAAGTGAGCGGGGACCCAAGAGGGCAGCTGTGCAGGCCCTCACCACAGGGGACAGGAGGTGAGGCCTTCGGGCAAGGGAGCACAGGGGACAGAGGCATCAGGAGAACTGCGACACCCCTTGGATAGGCACAGGACGGGGGCCACCATGCAGGCTGGACAGGCACTCACCGGTTGTAGCCGTTGAGGGAGAAGGCGCCCTGCGGGGAGGCAGATGTGCTGCTCTTGAAGTAGTAGATGCAGCGCTTGTGGATGATGACGAAGCGCAGTGGCCCTGGATGGAGGGCACAGGCAGGCTGAGCCGGGAGGACCCTCCCAGGGCTCCAAAGTGGGCACATTCACAGGCACGCTGGCCACCCCAGGGCACCCCAAGGCAGGCCTGGGCCCTGGGAAGGGGCACTCTTGGGGTCACCACAAGGAAGGGCCCAGCCAGGGCCGCCGTGGTGCCAAAGGGCCCCTGGGTGCTCCCTCCACCCAGGCTGGAGGAGCAGGACAGGTGGTGATGACGCTGCCCAGCCAGGTGGTTACTTGGAAGGTGCTCAGCCCAGGCAGCCTGGGCACCTCAGCCAGGCAGTGAGGGCCAGGAGTCCCAGTGCCACACCGGGGCTACAAGGGTGAGCAAGGCCCCGGCACTCTGCCTCAACGTCCTGCCCAGACTGCTGGCTCCTGACAGCGCAGTCTCCCAGAGAGCTGAGTGACAGTGCTCAGGTGAGGCAAGGGCAGCGACCGGCCCAGACCTAACGCCATTCTACCCCACACTGCAGTTGTGCTACCCCGGCCCATCACAGTCCTGGGGTGCCAACTGCAGGCTGCTGGCTGCCACTCTGCACAGAAGCAAGGGAAACCGAGGGGCACAAGGGAGGAAGCAGAGGGTGTGCACTTGTCAGAGGGGCCACAGCGCAGTGGGGACTTGGGCGAGGGCCCCCTCAGTGGGCCCACGCCCTGGGACTCACATTTGAGCAGCTGCAGCTGGGTGCCCCCCTTCTTGTGCAGGTAGCCAGCCTTGGCCACACCCCCAGGCATGGTCAGCAGGTTCTGAGCACCAATGGCCTTCATGGGGACCGGCCAGTGCATCTCCTCAGCCGCCATGAAGCTGCAGTCAGGGAAGGACAGGGCTCAGCCAGAGGTGGGGACAGAGGGCGGCCCAGCCAGGGGTACCTGGGGGCACTGCCACGCCCCAGGAGAGCCAAGGCAAGGAGGGGTGAGGACAGGCCTTCTGAGGAGACCCCATGGGGACAGGCCATGGGGCCTGGCAGTCTGTGCCTGGCTCCCTCGGACAAACCCGAGCGCCGGTGCTGGAGCTTTGTTCCTGTATCATCACTTGTCCTTTGGACACACAGCCCCAGGAGGGCTGGCATAGGGTGACAAAAGAACTCGGAAAGCCCCATGTGGGCGAGTCAGGCCTTGGGCAGTCGCTACTCCAAGTCCCAAAGCCAGGTGGGGCCATAAGGCAGCTGGGCCAGACAGGAAGCTGGGAGGGCTTTCTGGAGGAAATGGTGCTGCGGTTAAGGAGGTGCAGGGTCTCCTCCAGCTCTGACCCAGCGCCCTCCTTGGGCTCTGGCTGCTCTTCTGGAACTGCTAGCTGTTTAACACCCTGGCTTCGGCCACAGCCTCCACCCCTACTTGCATGCAGAACTCCTGTGAGTATGAGTCCCCTCTGCTGTGGGGCGCCCCAAGTTCCTAGTCACATCTGGGGCCCCTACTGTGCCTGTGTCCTGGCCGGGAGTGGGCAGGCATGCAGCAGTGTCCCTGCGCTGGAGCAGGGGACAAACCCAGAGGCCCCGGCACTACACTCCAGGACGGGCACACAGGAAACATGCTCCCTACAATACCCACAGTGCCCCAAGACCGCCCGAGACCAAAGACTGTGCCAGTGTCGCCCTGCGCTGGGCCCTGCCTCCGCACACAAAGCCCCCTTTAGGCAGGGATGTGGGAGGCACCAGCCTCGGCCCTAGGTCCCCAACGCCAGCCAAGGTTTGGGACAAAGACTTGGCCACGCCCGCGTGCCCTGTCCAGCCAGGAGGAGGGGGAGGCCCTGCCCAGCCCACTCAGGGTCCTGCCCGCCCAGGGCCCCCAGACCTGCAGCCCACGCCCGCCTTTGTTCTCACAGCCCCGCTACGGCACGAGACTGGGGTCCCAGGGCGTGATCCTGCCTGCGGCTAGGGGCGGGGCCGCGGACCTGGGGGTCCGGTCAGGGTCAGGTTTGGAGACGGGGCAGTGCGCCCGGGGCCCAAAGCCAGGGTCCCCATGCAGCGACCCAGGTCGGGCTCCATACTCACGGCGTCCACGCGGCAGGCGCCGGCTTCCGGGAGGCGGCGAGCGCCCTAATCCCTCGCGAGCAATGACAAGGGGCGGGCCCCGCACCACCCGCCGCCTCGCCGCGCTCCTGGAAGGCCCAGCTCCGCGGCCGCCCGGCGCCCGCCATGCTGCCCGCGGGCAGGCGAGGGCCCGCCCACTACGTCACCCGGCACCGGCACCGCCCCCGCCCCCGCGGGAGCAGGAAGCCCAGGTCTACAAAGGCAGCCCCAAGTCGAGGAGTCACCGACGCCCGGGGGCAGCCCAGCTGGACCCCACCCATAGGGCAGGGTGACCTAGCCCTGCCGCCCCCCTCCCAGGCTCCGCGTGCACCTCTGTGAAGTGGCACTGCCCTCAAGGTACACTGCCCGTCGCCAGTGTGGCCCCAGGGCCCGCCAAGGAATCGGGGTCTGGCCTGGCCTGGCCAGCTGCCCGGCGTGGGCACGTGCAGTCCCCGGCGGGCTCCCAGTGCCCCGCCTCCGCCCTCCGCCAGGCCACAGGAACGCCACCAGGAGGGGGGGGGGCAAAAATAAGTGAAATTGTGACGTGAGAGATCCACCTGCTGTCCTTTTCCTCCTGCTGAAGATGCAGCCATGGTTAGTGGGGCCCAGCAAGCACGCTGCACCCCGAGACCCTAACCCCTCAGCCCTGCTCCTGACATTGCACATTGCTCCCTGTCCTGTCCCAAGCTGCGGCCCTGGTGGGGAGCAGTTCCTCTCCCCTCAAGTCGCACGGTGCCCTCTCCCTTCACAGCGCCCCGTGGTGCTCAGCCCTATAAAGACCTGTTCGCCTGCCTGAGAGCCACGTCTGTTCTCTGTGCCAGGGCGGTCCTTGCAGGCCTGTTCGGAAGTGCACCAGCCCTCTGTTTTTCCTAACATTGTGTACGTGTACTAACTCTGTGTGATGACAGCAGTCATTATTACTACAAACATGTACTAGTAAAAACAAAATTTTAAAAGTCCTTTGTGGATATAGACACAAACATCCTCAACAAAAGTCTATACTGAATCCAGCAACACAGAAAAAGGATTCTCCAGACGGGGATGTGGGTCAGCGGTACCGAGCCTGCCTCACAAGCGCAAGGTCCTGCATTCCATCCCCAGTAACAAAAAAGAAAAAAAAAAGGATTCTCCATGTCCAAGTGGGATTAATCCCAGCAACTCAAGGTTGGTTTAATATTCAAATTCAATTGTCACCCATCGAATCAATAAGATAACAAACAGAACCCACGGAAGCATCCCAAGAGATGCAGGAAAGCATTTGCCCAAAGCCCACGGTCTTCCATAAGAGCAGCACTCAACCTGGGACAGACTGCCTGCCCTTGAGGGGCGTCTGCGGCCAACACAGCAAGGTGGACCACGCTTTTTCCCCAACAGGGGCCAGACCAGGGTGTCTCCTCTCACCTAGCCCCACACTGGAGCCACTGGCCACATAATTGGGCAGTAGAAAGTATCCAGACTAGAAAGGAAGCATGCAACAAGGAAAGAAAGTATTCACAGCTTTGCTTTTCTGTTTTTGTTTGCCGTACTGGGGAATGAACCCAGGTCCGCAGGCCTTTTTATTTTGAGATAGGGTCTCACTAAGCCAGTTGCCCAGGTTGGACTTGAAGTTGTAACCCACCCTGCCTCAACCTCCTAGAGTGCTGGCATTGTAGGCATGCGCAGCCATGCTCAGTTTAGATGATTTTACATAGAGAAAATTCCACAGAATCCACTAAGAAATTGTTAGAACTAATAAGAGTGTTCGGCCAGACAGAGGATGTGAGCTCAGTACAGAAAGATGGACTGTGTCTGTGGATGTGGAAGTAAGCATCAGTTCAGGCACCCCTTCTCCAGGTGACCCCAAGCTCCACAGCCCCGTGTCCTTGCATGGCACACGCTGCGGCCACTCCCCCTCCGTAGGCAGAGGAAGGTGCTGAGGTAGCCCTGCCTCCCCCTGGGGGCAGGCCCTCCTTCTCCCCTGGGAATGTCCCCTGCAGGACAGACGGATGTCTCAGCCCTCTTGAGGTGACGGGTGTCTGGGGAGCCCTTCCTGGGTGCCCCACAGAGCCCAGTGCCAGGCCAGGCTGGAGCCAAAAAGGGAAGTGGCACAGAGGTGAGGGCAACCCTGACCACAATGACCATGCCGGGAACTGGCCGCCCTGCTATCTCCCCACAGGGCCAGGGCACCCCAGCCCGGACACCTGGGGCTCAGTTCCACTGGCTCAACCTGGGGCCCCTGCAGCCCTTCTTGCCAATGTGCTGGTGGCCCCGGTCCCCAGCAGGGGACATCACCCCCCACGGGTGGGGACTGGCAGGGAGTGGTGGAGGCCCGTCCTGCCTCCCGCGTCCTGCCTCCCGCAGTGCGGACAGGGTCAGACTCCACTCCTGAGCCCAGACACCCTGCTTTGCTACTCTCCTCTCGCTGCTGAGACAAAATACCTGACATCCAAAGTTAAAGGGAAAAGGTTTTTTTAGCTCGCAGTTTGTAGAGGTTTCAGTCCATAATTGGCTGGCTCCAAGGCAGGGAGGGCATCACAGAGGAGAACCAGATGGTGCTCACATGGTAGCGAAAGCAACAAGGGGCCTTAACAGTGTCTTTCTGCCTCTTTTGTCCCATCCAGAGGACCCGGAGTAGGGCGGTGCCACACCCCTCACTCACTCACTCAGGTGGTTTGGTAATCACACGTCCTTAATCCCAGCATCACACACTCCACATTCAGCACCTCAGAAAAGGCATGAGGCCTTGGGGGGACAGCCAGACACAGCCATAACAGCCTGCAAAACAGCGCCTCATGGAGGAGCTGGCAGCGAGCTCAGGACTCACTTCCCGCTGGCTGTGCAGTGGCCCCTTCCCTGCGGCTGGGGGCTCCGGCCCGGGCAGGCCAGTGGTGGGGTGGCTGGGGCTGGGGTGGCTGCAGGGTCCCACGAGCCCTTCTGGGATGCATGTGATCTGTGTGCACACGTGTGTGGCCTGCATGTGTGTGGGGAGTGTGCCTGGGACACGGGCCCCTACCCACTGACTCTGAGTCCATGCTGTGGGCTCTGGTGACCCCGAGCCTGGGGGGCAGGGCAGTACTGGGCACAGCTGTTCCCCAGAGACAGCCTGCTGGTCCACTAACTGGGCTGCGTCCACCCTGAGCCCCTGAGCCTGGAAGGGACGGTGGTCCTCACCGCAGAGGCCCCATACAGGACAGGCACGAGAGCCACAGGGCTCACACGCACCAGCACGTGCACATGTGCATGTGTGTGTGCACACGGCTGAGCCCAGGCACGAGGGCGGGCGGGCTCCACGCCCCCGCTGACACCTGTATGCTTGGCCCTGCTGTGGTGAGGACCCAGCAGCCAGGCGACCACGGCCCACAGCTCCGTCACCAGGGAGGTGAGGCCAGGTCCCAAGGGTCCTTGCCCACACCCAGATCCCGACACACCATCTCTCATCCACGGCCCTCACACATGTTCACACGTACGCACACACTCAGAGTGCCGACCTCCTGCACAGGCATTCATGAGCACTCGTGCATGCACACTCACACCTGTGCACACTAATGCACACAGGCTCTGCTTCACACTCACCCGCAGAGCCCACACACCCTTTGTGGGTGGTCCCCAGTGAGCTCCGTCTGGACCTCAGGCCCCGCGTGGCTTGGGGTTCACTCGCTTCAGACCAGGACCCCGGGTGGGCGGGCAGGATCAGGACCCGGCACCCTGGTGCTCTCCACAGCCTGGCTCTGAGCCCTGCAGGAACCCCAGCCCAGACCCCACACGCTGCATGGCCAGTTGGTCCCACGCTGCTGCTGAGATGCCCATGAGCCAGAGAAGCCAAGGGCCCCCAAGCCACACCTCCAGTAGCTGGTGACACACCCGCCACGTGCCCTACCTGCCCCACCAGCTCCCCTCTTGGCACAGAGGTCTGGGGCTGTGGATGAGCAGGCCAGGTGTCCCCTGTGTGGCCTGGTCGCTGGCCCCCAGCTCTCCCTTTCTGTTCCCTCCCCCTCCTTCCTCTTCCCAGAATCATTCTCTGTGAGAGAATCAAAACCAAAATCCCCTAGAAAGGCCCATGATGCCGGACGTGGTGGCACACGCCTGTGATCCCAGCGCTCTGGGAGGCTGAGGCAGGAGGGTCTCAAGTTCAAGCCCAGCCTCGGCAACTTAATGACTTGGCAAGGCCCTGTCTCAAAATACAGAGGGCTGGGGATGCGGCTCAGTGCGGAGGCCCTGGGTTCACCCCCAGGACAGAAAAATAGGAAGTGAAAGGAGCCCAGTGAGGAGCCAGAGAGAGGACCCACTTGCCAGGCAAGTGGCCAGCCTGCTTCCGGAGCACAGCCCCGCTGGCAGGTCCATGGGCACAGCATGCCTGTGTGGGGAGCGGGCTTCACCTGGCCCCCTCGTCCCCAACCCAGGTGCACGCGCACCACAGGGTCCGTACACCCTGGCAGTACACAGGAGGTGCTCAGCGACTGGGCCCCCGCCAGCTGCTGGCCAGAACAGCGTCCCTCTGCTCACCCTCTCTGAGGCCGAGCCCTGCAGGAGCTCCTCTCCCCGCCTGTCCCTTCTCCTGGGCCTGAGCTTGGCCCAGGAGCCCTGCTGCCACCACCCCTTCCTGCGGCCCCGCGGGAGCCGCCCCACTGACCTGATGGTGCTGACCCAGCACATGGTTCTCCGGCTCGAGAGCCTGCTGGGGGCCAGAGTGCCGGGGCCCAGGGAAGCCATGCAGCTCAGGGGCTGCAGAGATGGTGGAGGCAGGCATCCCCTGTGCTGCCACACTCAGTCCTGCTGCATCTGCACCTGTGGCCACCAGGGCTTCCTCCCAGGCGGGACTTCCGGTTAGCAGCTCCCTGGGCTGCCTGAGGAGCAGCACTTCCTATCTTCCACCCCAGAGGTCCTGAAAGCCAGAGGGGGCCAAGAGCTGTCGCTCCCAGGGTGATCAGCCTGTGGACTGTGGGCCCACTTCCCTGCTTCTGACCCCCACAGCTCTGGCTTGGGGCTCCGGGCAGGAAGCTCCCTGCTAGGGCCCCTTGGTCAGCTCTGCACACTCAGCCTTGCACGGGCAAACCACAAATACCTGTGCAGCCTAGCGTGTCAGGCCCAGCACAGACCTCTGCTGACAGCCACACGGGGCTCACTCCCGCTCCCCGTACAAGGGGCTCCTGCCCTCTGAACCACAGACAGTGAGCCTCTGGCCCTGGGGACCTGTAGTTTCTAAGGTGGCCAAGTCTGTGCTTCTGAGCCCAGGGACTGTGGGGCTAGGCAGGAGTGTGGGCACAGGCATTTCTGTCTGCTCCTCCCATCCCTCTGCGTCCCTGTCCCTTGCTACTGTGCTTGCTGGAAAGCACTTTGTGGCCTAGGTGGCAAAGCATCAGCCCAGGGCCCTGCTCTGGCCCCATGCAGAACTCAGCCCTCCTGACCTGCTGTTTCCCCTCAAGCCTGGTGTCCTTCCCTAGCTCGGCCCCACAGGAAGCCAGAGGACAGGGATTGCAGCTCAAGCCGCTGATGTCCCCACCCTGCCTCCTCCTTTGAGCTCCTGTCCCAGTGAGAACGGCACCCTAGGAAGGAGGCAGCTGGAGAAAGGAGGATTTGAGAGTGGCAGAGCATGCACACCACAGTCCCTGGGAGCTGCAGCATCTTCCTGGTCCACCAACTTCCCCGAGCCTCCTGTAGCCCCTGTCCTGATGGCCCTGCACACCACCCCCATAGCTAGGTATTGGGCACCCAACCAGAGGCCGGGTGTCGGGGCCCAGGACCAGGACAGCTCCCAGGCTGTGTCCCGGCACCAGGCTGGCTGCCAAGGCCCCTGGTACTGAGGGGCCTGTTTGGGATGCAGACCCCTGCCGCTTGCTAGAGGGTGGGGACCCTGAGCCTGGTGTCTGGGGCCCTGCATCCCCAGCCTGCACCAGCCTCAATACCTTGGGGTGGTCAGTGGCAGGCCACGCCTTCAGCACAAGGTTGGACATGGCAGCCAGGGCTGGGTGACAGAGAGGGGCTCGCTTGGGGCCTCTTCCTGTTCCCCTCCGCAGCAGGGCAGAGCTAAGAGCATGGGGGTCCTGGGGGTGGCCCCCAGATGGAGAGGGCACCAAGAGACCATGGGCTCTGGCAAGGGTGCCAGGCCCCGAGAGTACTGGGCCAGGATTGGGGCCTGGGGTGGCGGAGGAAGTCTGGGGGGGGTTGGCCATGGGACAGGCATGGGGTGAGCTGCAGGAGGCAGTCTGGGGGCCTGGGCTCAGAGGCTGGGGGACAGCACCCACCTGGCGGCAATCTTGGGGGCATGCCCCCTTCCTGCAGACCAGGGGTTTGGACCAGGCCGAGGCCCAGGCAGGAGCCAGACCTGCCCGCTTATCCCATCCAGGGCCCCAGGCATAGATCCAGACCCTGGGTGCAGCCCAAGATGCTCTGGTCACAGGCCAGAGGAGAGGGAGGGAGGCCAGCCACAGCTTTCCGGGGGCTGGGGCTGCTGTGTGACTTTGCAGGTCCCTTGGCTCTGAGCTTCAGTGTCTCCCTGTGCCCTGCCATTCCTATTCCTGAAAACAGAGGACATTCAGGATGCCCTCCCCACCATGGTGGTGCTTGTGACTTTCACCCTGCTCTGGTAACCATGGCGATGACCCCCCAACATCCCAGCAAGGAGAAGTGTGTGGCTGGGGTACAGCTGAGGTCACCAGTGTTGGGCAGCCTGTCCCCTCCTCGGTCCTCCCCTGCCTGGGCTGGTGCCTCGCCTCAAAGCAGCTGGGCTCAGGGGCCCATGCTCCACTGGGCTCAGGGACGGGGCACTTGTGTGGGTGGGTGCCGGGCAGGGGGCCGGGGGTCAGCCTGGAAGAGGGGAGAGAGAGGCACAGTTTGCAGTGGGCACTGCAGGCCCTGCCCGCCACCCACTCCTCACAGCCCCTGCCTCGGCTCAGTGCTCACAGCCCGAGGCTGGGCCGGCTGCCATCTGTACTCGCCAACGAGGAGATGGAGGTTCCCAGAGGAAGGAGCTTGCTTGACTGGAAGGGACCAGGACGCATTTCCAGGTCCCAGGCCCCCTTGGCCAGCCTGGCACTGCCGGCCACGTGCAGGAGCAGCTGGGGGAGGGGGTGGGCGGGCTGGGGCTCTTTGGAGGACGAGGGCACCCGCTGGGGAGACCACCAGCTCTCAGGACAGGATGCTCTGCAGTGGCCCCATCCAGAGGCCCACTGGCCGCATCAGGACCCCAGCACTGGGTGGCGAGGGAGGGCTGCAAGGACCCTGAGAGGTCGGTCCTGGGCAGAGGTCAGGGGCTCAGCGGGCAGAGCCCTGCTCAGAGCCCCGGGGTGCAGTATCCCAGGATGAAGGGCAGCCCCTAATCCCCATCCTGTGAACATGACCCTCAGTGCAGATACATTCAGGCTCTCATCCTGGATGAACCAGGTGGGTCCTAAATCTACTGAGAGCAGGGTGGGGGGCTTGGTGGCAGACGCTGTAATCTTAGCACTCTGGGAGGCTAAGGCAGGAGGATGCCAAGTTTGAGCCCAATCTGGACAACTCAGTGAGACCCTGTCTCAAAATAAAAAATAAAACAGGGCCGGGGATTTAGCTCAGTGGTTCCGGTGCCTGCCTCACAAGTCCAAGGTCCCGAGTTTGATTCCCGGTACCTAAATAAATAAATAAATAAATACAATAAAAAATACATAAAAGAGTGCTGAGGATGTAGCTCCATGCAAAGGGCCTGGGTTCAACCCTGGTACAGCAGAGAAAGGGGGGGAGAGATCGAGCAGAAGAGGACATCGGATGACTGGAGACCACCTACGTACGGAGGTGACATCGGAATGACGTGGCCACAGGAGGCTGCCCCCCCCACTGGACCAACAAGGAAGGGTCCTCTCCCACTGACCCCTTGGCTCCGCCCTTGTGGCCTTGGGGACAGAGGACGTAACCTCTGCTATTTCGAGCTCCTCCCGCCCTGGGTGGCTCCAGGGGTGCGGTCCCCTCTCACCACCTCCTGCACACTGGGCCCCCACTTGCTCCCCAGCTTTTCCTACAGGATCAGCTCCCCTAGTGCATCACTTCCACTGCGTTCCTCTCCTGGATCTCCACTCCCAGCCTCCCCGGGCCTGGCTCCTCCTGACTCAGCACCCTGAACCACATCCACCTCACCGCCCTCTCTAAACTGTCCACACCCACGGAACAGCCCTGCCCACTGGTGTCACCACACATGTCCCCAGCACTCCCCATAAGCCGGGTCCCACTGGATCCCCAGGGCCCAAGAGATGGATGGATAAACGGATGGAAGATGGCACAGGCCACACCGCAGTGTGGCAGGAGCCAGTCCATCCCTCTAAGCTCAGAGCTCGAAACGCAACTCCAAGCTCATCAGACCTGCAAGAAGAGAGCCAAAGGACTAATGTCCAGCAGGCTGCAGCCACTTCCTGTCCATGCCCCGGGACTGCTGTGGGGTAAAGAGGCCTCCAGATAGCACTGGCTGGTGGGCCGGGCTACACACTGCAAAACAGAGAAAGGCTGATGCAGGGGTGTTGGCCAGCGCCCCTAAAAGACAGTGCCAAGGGCTCAGAGGCCCCAGGGGCTTGGGTGCCACCCAGTCTGGAGGGCACAGGCAGTCCTCATCACTCCTGCATCTGAAGGGCAAAGGACTCAAGGGCAGCCCAGGGAGGTCCATATGCACACTGCCACCTAGGCCCGGCCTCGCTAGGCAGGGGTGCAGGTCTGGCTCTGGGGCACTCCCAGAGAGGCCCGCAGAGTCCTGAGTCCCTGGACGCCTCCCAGAGGCCCAGCACCCACTCAGCATGGAGCTCTAGTCAGGTCAGCAGGGACCAGGGAGGGCGGGTCGGCCTGGGGCTGGGGACAGCGGGCTGGCCGGGCAGGTCTCCTGACAGGCCGCACCCCACGCAGACCTAGGCCAGGATTCATACTCAAGTTCATCGAAACCACCCACATTTCCTCCTCTTGGCGCTGAGCGCTGCCTGCGGCCCGGGCGGCCACCACCACAGGGCCCCTGACACCCCGGCCCACCCAGGGCACCAGGGCACCCTTGAGACTGCTCCACATGAGAAGGCTGCTCCACCCTTGGACCATGGTGGCAGGTCTGGCTTGATCCCCTCCCAGGCTGGGGGACCCACCTGAGCCTCAGTTTCCCCCTCTGAGGAGTGGGAATCCTGGGGGGTTGGGGTAGGCTTACTCCAGGGACAACTGGTCACTGGGGTCCCGTTGACACCCCCACAAAGAGAAGGCAGGAGAGGCCAAAGGTGTCCTGGGGCATCCCTGCCCCAAGTCCGGGTGGGTCTCCCTCAGCCGCACTGCGCCTGCTCTTCGGCGCGCTCTCTGTGCGCCGCCCTGCCCGTCCCCAGCGACCCTGTCCACCCCACTGGGCACTTCCCCACGGCTCGTCAGACAAGTGAAACCACTCATCTGGCCCCAAGCACCTCACTTCATCCCCGGGGACCCCGGTTTGCAGGCAGAACACCCACAGCGGGGCTCTGCGGCCACAGCGCCTCCTCAGTCCATGTCCACCACCAGGAGGCGAGGGTAGGAAAAGCCTCGCGGACAGCGCACCCTCACACCCTGAGTCCGGACCTCCTGAGCCCCCAGGGCCCAAGGGCTGTGGTGGGTGTGAAACCTGCGGGCACCTTTGTCAGGACCACTCAGACAGGTGGCCTCCTTGAGCTGACCCCAGGCTGGGCAAGGGACTCACAGGGGGTGGACGCCCCCAAGCCCAGCCACTCCACCATCTCCCCCTCCCAGCAGCTGCGGGGCAGAAGCTGCCACCACCAGCCCCTCCCGGGGATGCCTGAGTCACAGGAGCCTCCAGCAGCCTCGGCACAGGGGTCACAGGGCCCAAGTGCCCCCTGCCTGCAGTCTCCTCAGATGACAGAGGGCCGGGCGGCTGGCCAGGAATCCCGCGTGAGCCAAGCGTGTCAGCTCCGTCCCCAGTCGGGCCGACTACAGGGTGGCTTCCTGCTTTCCGCATGCAGATGCTGAGCTCAGGGCCAGGTGGGCTGCAGCCCCCGCGCCCAGCCAGCAGCTCTAGTGTCACCCAGAGCCTGGGGCCACCTTGTCCACATCACAGCCTGGGACCCCGAGGGCCTGAGCAGGAAAAGGGGAGCCCAGGGCTGACTCCTGGGAGGATGAGGAACGATCTTCACCCTGGGGTGGAGGCCATAGCTGGGGCAGGAGGCCAGGAGTCTGGTGTTCACCCCAGGAAAAGCTCTGAGAAGCAGGATGCCAGGCCTCAGTTTCCCCCTTGGTTACTGGGCAGTCCCTGGAGCTCTGGCCCAGCACAGGTGGGGTGGGGGCTCCCACACTGCAGCAGACTTGGGGGGAGCCAAGATGCAGGCAGGGACCTGACAGGGAGGCACCCAGGTGTGGAGCCGAGAAAATGCAGGAGTGGCAGGCGCTTCGGGAGGGACACCAGGGTCCCCCTGTGCAGTCACCCCAGCCCCGTGCTCTCCTGGATCTGGGGGGAGACAAGGCAGCCAGGGCACCACAGGCCCGTGCCTTCGCCCACCCGGGACCTGGCTGCCAAGGAAGCAGCTCCTCTGACTCATGTCCTCCTGATGTCCGCTGGCCCACCCCATCTGTGAGCCAGCCCCAGCCTGGGAGCAATGTGCCCTATGAGGGAGCCAGGCGCAGGTGACAGGGAGAGGGTCTGGGGGGGGTAGAGTGTGTCGAGGCCTTGGGGCCTGGGCAAGGGTGGGCTCGTGCCTTTGGACACCAGGGACAGCGGCCAGGCCCTGCCAGAGCCACCTGTCCAGCCCACGTGTCCCTGGAACCCGACCCGTGGCGGTCAGGGACCTTGACTTCGATCACCTGCTCCTCTCCTTGCTGCTTTTGTACCTGTCATGCTGTGGTGGAGTTCTGTGGGCCACACAAAGCTGGGCTGCTCAGCCTGGCACCTTACAGCGTCTGGCCAGGTTGGGCTCCAGGGTGACCAGGCCGTGGTGGGTCCCTGGGCCCCTCGCCTGCTCAGGAAACCCAGTTTGCCGCCTGCCCAATAGGAGCCATGTCCCTGTCCCTTGCCACAAGGCCATTTCATTCTGTACCCCCCTCCCCCCAGGTAGTGGAGATGGAGCCAGGGCCTCACACAGGCCAGGGAAGTGTTCTACCACTGAGCTACACCTCAGCCCTTTTTTATTTTGAGACAGGATCTTGCGAAGTTGCCTAGGCTGACCTCGAATTTGCAATCCTCCTGCCTCAGCCTCCTGAGAAGCTAGGATAACGAGTATTTGCCACCACGCCTTGCTTTTTTGTCACTTTTTCTTCCTTAGTGATTTTTTTTATGGTATTCTGCTAAATTGACCAAGCTGGCCTTGAGCTCTAGGGCTCACCTCATCCTCCTGTCTCAGCCTCCAGAGAAGCTGGGACTATAGGCACGTACCACTGAGTGTGGCTACTCCTTAGTAAATTTTAGGCTGGCATCAGGCTTTGTGCATTTTGCCCTCTTGTTGGTTCCTTCCTGGGGTTACCCACGACAGTAGAGGGGCCACAGGTGACGAGCTAGCCCCTGTTCCAAGGCCCTGGTCACCCTGGGGCTGGGGCTCTGGCTGGACAGAGGCAAGGAGAAATATGGCCAGACCGGGGTGGGGGGGCAGGAAGAGGTGCAGAGGGAGATGACGGAAGGAGGGTGGCCACGCGCTGGGGAACCGAGAGCAGTTTGTTCCTCCTAGGGCCTGGGCAGTGGATGTGGTGACTCAGGCTGCTGCTGCAGGGGCCCTGAACTTTCCCGGGAGCCTCACTCCACCCCACTGTTTGGGGGCCCCTCGTTGGGAGCAGGGACAGGAGGGGCAGGGCAGAATGGCAACCTCCTCCCCCGTCCCGTGCTGCCCTCTGTGCCCCACCCCCCACTCTGCCCAGCCTTCGCCTTTCCCCGCACAGTGCGGCTCAGGAGGGCTCTGGGCTCAGGCTTGGGGCTCCCGCCCTCCTCGGTATGCACCACGCTGAGCTGTTGTGCCGCCCCACTGCAGATTCACCTGCCTCTACCCTGCTCAGGACACCCCAAGGAGCCCTGATCCCTCCAGTCCTCAGGCAGCGTGGGGGGGGGTGGCCCAGCGGGCGGAGGAGGGGCCCTCTGGCAGCTGCTCCTCCCTTGGCTCCGTGGGGAGCTCTCCAGTCCCCATCTTCCTCCCAGGGACAGGCCCTGCCACCTCGGCCGCAGATCCCCCAGGGGAGGGCACCACCCCAGCCTGCCCTGTGGCCTGGCCCTCAAGGCCCCATACGTGCCCAGCCCACCCAGGACACAGGGCAAGATGGCCTCCGGAGGTCAGCAGAGCTCAGAACCAGGCTCTGGCAGGGACTCTGGACAGCTGCTACACTACCCACGGGAGCGACACAGCTCCTACTTTGGGGACAGCCTCACTCACACACACACCCCTGCAGCACGCCACCAATAGCCAGAAAACCCAGCAAAGGAGCTGGGCGGGCAGCAGAGGTGGGGGTGAGGCTGGAGCAGGCGGAGCCACCAAGGCCACGGTCACCCCAGCCTCACCAGACCCCTCCCGCCTCCTTGAGTCTGTCCCTCTCTGTCAACCTCCATGTGTGGCTTCTCCCCGCCCAGGCCCAGCTCCACAGGGGAGGGGACGTGGGTGGTCCGAGCCCCTCCTCCCCTCCGGCTCCCGCCCCAGGAGGCCCATGTGGGTCAATGCCATGGCACCTCACACCCCACCCTGGTTTCTGCCTCTCTGAGGACCGGGCCTGGGCCTGGAGTGGGCCCACTGCAGAGACCTTGGCTTTGGGCAGAACCCCTGGGGCAGGACCCAGAGGCTGGTGGGGGCAGGGTGGTCCCTCCTCAACCACCTTCCTCCCCCTGGGACAACCTGCCCCCGGGGGGCACAGCCACCGCCAGCCACAGTGCCTGACCCTGACCGTCCTGGTGACATCCTCCAGGAAAGGCAAAGGCGCCTGTCAGTCTCAGACCAGGCCAGAGCCCTCAGCTGGGTGGAGCAGGCTCCGCTCTAGACCCGGCCCCACAAGCTACCCCGGAGCCTCCTCCCCCTCTGGTTCCCCTCTGGAGGAGCCCCAACCCCCGTGTGGCAAGGAGCAGGTACAGATTGGGGGTCCCAGCCCTGGGGTGCCAGCACAGGGTGGGAGGGTGAGGACCCCTGGGCAGTGTCCTGTGCCCCAGCCAAGAGGCAGACAGGACTTGCCGGACAGGGACGAACCCCAGGAGCAGGTGGCCGGTGGGGTACAGTCCTGAGCCATGGTGGGTGCACAACTCCTCGGGATCTCTCTGTGGCCAGCGTCTGGGGGCCGACCCCAATCCTGGCCCCGACACAGCTTTCAGAAAATGAAATGCTGCGGCTCTAGGTGTGGTCACACGGTGCCTCCATACCTGGAGTCCTGTTCCCCACCAGGCCTTGGTTTTCCCATCTGTATGGCTGGCTGCAGGGGCCACAGAGCCTAGGCTCAGATGGCTGGGTCTGTGCCTGGGCCGGCAGCTGCAGCCTGGAGGCGAGGGTGGTGATGGAAACCTGGAGAGCTACGCCAAGGTCCAAGCTGCTGGTATCTGACCAGAAGCTGCCAAGGGGGAGCCGGCTTCCAAGAGGGTAGGGCGTTCGCCTCCAGCGTCAGAGGACAGTTAAACACAGGTGGGGACAGCAGCACCCAGCATCAAAGAGCCTGGCCAAGCCCCTGTGCCACTTGATTCAGGCCAGCAGGAAGTGCCCAGTTTGTGGCGTCCTTGTCCCTCGACAAGCACTGCAGGCTTGGAGCTCAGCCACCGCAGGAGTCCCCAGGCCGGGGGGCGGCATGCAGGTCACTGTGCCCATGGCCCATCGGCTGGTTGGGGCTCAGAGGAAGCACACAGCCTCCTAAAGTGGGGTTCACCAGGGACAGCCAAGGCCTACCCAGCCCCGAGGCCCCAGGACCCATCCTGACCTCTTCTTCTTCCTCGGCTTCAGGCAGCACAGTGAGGCCAGGGGCTCAGCAGACCCCTGCACCTGGCTCCAGACAGTGGGCCAGGCCCCAGGGGCAGCCCCGAGTTTGGAGACACAGGGCCCCCTAATGCCATGGGACAGTGTCATGAGATCACAACACCCCTCCACCCAGACAGGAGGAGCGCCACAAAGCGGAGCTGCAGTCCACCAGGGCCAAGGTCAGGGACGCCCAGCGCGGTCTTCAGACTCAGCCTCGGTGCCCTCCTCTGCCAGGGCTGGCTCTTCCTGACAATCTCATGGGTTGGACCAATCGAACCCCATTGCACTAAAGGGGCACTGCCGTCCAACGCAGGCCGCTGCCAAGGCCTGGAGTGCAGCGGGCCTAGGGAAGCCACCTCAGCCATCATCAGGCACACCCCTGGCCTCGGCCAGCACTTTGCCAACCTGGCAGGCCAGGAAGCAGACCCTGCCTCCCTCCGGGGCTGAGCAGGCTGCACTGGCTCTCGCCCACTGCCCCACCCTGCAGGGCTCAGCAGCACACAGTAAACATCTGATTCATGAGGAAGCCAGGCACTGCTGGGAATCCACTAGGCTTCGGGGAGTCTGGGTGTGGACCCCGCTGGCTTCCTCAAGCCACTGCCCCAGGCTGCCAAACCCCACCTTCCCGGAGAGTAACTGGCGAGGATGATCGGACAGGACGGTCCGGCCTTGGTCGCCCACGTGGGCTTGGCCAGCGAGCCAGCTGGGCCCAGGCAGGTCCAGAGGGAGCTGACTGCTCCAGTGGGCTATGAGCTGGGACCCCAGAAGTCACAGCACATGGGGAGGAAGGGGGTGGCTGGGGCAGTGGTGTTCCCTGGGACCACGGCTGTGAGACTGAGGGCAGCTGTGTCACTGCGCTTCTTCCCTGCCCTCAGCGCTGGCAGAGTTCCCGGGCCTGGATGCACATCAGGGCCACTGAGGGGCTGAAGGCTTACAGGGAAGGGTCCCAGCCTGGGAAGACTCTAGGCCCGCACAGCAGCCACAGGCCACTCTGAGTGCCACCCTGTCCCTAGCTCTGTGGTGGTCCACGGCGGCCCAGAGCCACCTCCTCCTGTCCGCAAACCTCCCCTCCCTGCCCAGGCTGCCTGGCGCTGGCCAAGCCACCTGTGGCTATCACAGAGCATTGGCTGGCCAGCCAGTGAGAGCAGAGGCTGCCACGGCCACTGACCTGTGATGTCCCCACAATGGACCTTTGAGGAAAAAACCCAGGAGGTGCCAGAGTGTCCCCAACACTGGCCACTCCTGATGGACTCAGGCCTTTGCCTGTGAGTCGAACACTGAGGTGGGGGGAGGGGACTGGGAATCCTGGCCTTTGCCCCAGGCCTTTGCAGGCCCCGCCCTGCCCCTCCACATGGCTGAGCAGAGCTGGCCCCACTGGCCCTGCCTGAGGACCACCAGAAAGCTGCCAGTAGCCCCAAGTTGCTCAAAGCCACCCTGAGATGGAAAGGGGTTTGAAATCCTCCTTCTACACGGGAGGCAGGGAGCAGGGGCTTCCTGGCCAAGGTCAGCAGCCAGTAAGGGTGAGAATGGGATTTGAACCCAGGACCCCAGCTGATCCTGCTCTTTCTGGCACCCTTCTGTGCCCAAGGGTGGCCAATTTGTCCCTCTGGGCCCCTGGGCTTCCCATTTGTAGACCTGCACGTGTTTGTGCCCCTGTGGGATGTGGGGGTGCAGAGGGCTGACTCAACACTCCACTTCCTCTGTCCACGTGAACAGGAAGGGCCAGGGCAGCCTGGAGCCCCTTCCTCCTTCTAAGGCCAGCCTCTGAAGGGACCGCTCCTTGTCCCTGTAGGCAGGGGATGCTCCCAAAGTCTAGGGCCCTGTCAGTGTCCCTCTTGCCAGATGGCCCTGGGCAGGGTCTGCCCCCTGCCAGGGTGTGCCCCAAACAGGACACTGGGCAGAAACCAGGAGGGGTGGTGAAGGGAGCCCCGTCCGCCCTGGCCCTGCCGAGGTGTCTGGCAAAGGTGGAGAGTCCAGCCCCAGCCAGGACAGGGCTCCCCTAGGTGGCGTGGAGCTGGCGCTGGGCCTCCCTGACCCAGGCCCTGCCCTGGCCCACCTATCTGGTCACCAGCATCGGACAGCAGGTGACACTCCAGGTCGCCCGCCAGGTAACCCAGCCGTCTCCATGGAGCCCTGGCCGCAGGCCAGGGCCACTGCCGGGAGTAGAGGTCACCAGTGACTGGTGAGCCAACTGAGGCACAGAGGGTGCAGGGCTTCCAGGTCCGGCCGGGGGGCCCAGCAGGCTCGGGCTGAGCGGCAGAAGGGCTGCGGGCTGGGGACCCACATGCTCCCAACTCCAACTCTCCGTCCCTTGCCCCAAGCTCGGAGGCTCCTCTGACCCTCGGGCTCTCAGCACCAACAGGTGGGTCGCAAAGCTGGTATGACGGGAAGGCCGGGAGCGGATTCCCGCCTGCCTGAGGGCCGCTGGGCGGTCGCGTCACCGGGCGCCGACGGCAGGCGCCGAGGGGCGGAGGGACGAGGGGCCCGCGAGGCCGAGTAGCGACCGCCCCCAGGCTCCGGCGCAGGTTCCCCACGGCGGACCCCGCAGGACCCGGAGCGGCCCGCGCCGCGCCTACCTGCCGCGCTGTCTCCGACCCGGGCCGGGTCCCCGCGGCGGTCCGGTCCAGTCCGGTCCGGTCCGACCTCAGCCGTCTGTTGCAGGCCCCGCCCCCGCAGGCCCCGCCCTCGGATCCCGCACGCTCCCGCCCAATCACGGTCTCCTACTGTTTCAGGTTGGCGAGCGGCGGGCACCCAGGAGGCCCCAAGGACCCGCCCCGCTCCGGGAGAAGGCGGACGAGGCCCTGGGCTTAGACTTCTGGGCTGCTCCCGTACACAGCGGGTGCTCACTAAGTGCAGGTGAGCAGCCTGGCGAACACAGTGCAGGGGCTGGCGCTGTGCGACCCCCCCAGGCCCCGGACCCGCACCCTGTGACCCCGCGCCCCTCTGTCCCCGGGTCCACTCAGGTCGCCAAGGACCGCGGGCCGTGTCTCCCCTCATCAGAAAACAACCAGGCACTTTCCGACCTCAGGGCCTCTGCTCAGTGGCTCCTCCGCTGGATCACCGCCCCCAGATTCTTGCCTCCTCCTCCGTCTGGTTCAGGCTTCATGATTGCTTTATTAGAAAGTTCTTTGCTTGCTGGGTGTGGTGCACGCCTGTGATCCCAGCACTCTGGGAGGCTGAGGCAGGAGGATCACAAGTTCAAGCCCATCCTGGGCAATTTAGCAACTTAGCAAGACCCTGTCTCAAAATTAGATAAAGGGCTGGGGATGCAGCTCAGTGTGAGCCCTGGGTTCAATCCCAGTACCGCAAAAAAACAAAAATTTTGGCCGGGGATGGAGCTCAGTGGTTTCACCGCCTGCTGCGCAAGCGCAAGGACCCGAGTTCGATCCCCGGTACCAAAAAAATAAAAATAAAATAAAATAAAAAATTTTTATTTCTCTTTTGAAAACTGCTCACCGTCCAGTGCCCTCCTCCCTTGTCTTCCCTGACCCTGCTAGGGCCATCAGGTCCACCGGGTCTGTGTCCAGAGCCCCCCCCACGTCCCCATCCCAGCAGAGGTCCCAGCTGGTACCAAGCAGCCTCTTCCCAGGGGTCTGTTCCGCCCAGGGGACAGCACGGCGGCCACGGGTGCCAGCCCACAGTGCCAATGGGGCAGAGCCAGGGGACGGTGTGCCCGACCTGGCCGCTGGAGAGAGGGGTCTGGGGAGGCGCATGGGGCGGGAGCCCAGGCTCCAGCTCCCCACGCAGGCCAGCCCGCTCGCCTGTGGTCCGGGGCGCAGGGCTATGAGAAGGGGACTCCAGGGACGGCTGTGTGCGCGGCCAGAGCAGGGGAGACGGGGCCAGGCTCAGCTCAGCCACACCCGCCCTCACAGGCCCGGGTCCTGGCAGGCGCCCTCCCCCAGCCTGGTGGGCCTGCCGCTGTTCAGCACAGGGCGCTGCGGTGTCAGAGACGGCCTTTCTGGTGCTCTGCCGACCTTGTGCCAGTCGGGCCTCTGCCAGCTCGAGGGATCCATGGGCTGAGCAGGATTCCCGGGACAGACCCACCGGGGCCCAGAAGCCCAGGCACGCCTGCAGGCGAGGAAGGCTCGTGCCAGGTCCCCTGCCCAGGGGGCCTCAGCTTTGCCTCCGAGAGGTTCCTTTGGGTCCATTTCCCACCTCATGTGACAGTGCCAGGCCCCGCTGGGAAGTTCTGTCCCCAGCCCGTGGGTGAGGAGTTGGCCCACGCAGCTCCGTTTTCTATTTTTATACCCAAGTGCCTGCCCTCAGCCCACAGAGCCTGATTTGGAACTCAAAAGCAGCCTGTTCTCTTCCGGGCCCCACTTCCGGCCCACGGGTGAGGAGGTGGGTGTTTGTACACACAGAGCCCTCCGTGCCCCGCCTTTCCCCTGGCACCCCATCGCTGCCCGCAGGACCATCAGGGACATGCAGGGTCTGCGATGGAGTGAAGTTTCATGTCAGTCCCAGCAGACGCGGCTGGCACTGTGTCAATGGAGACCCCGGGGCTGCACAGCTCCAGGGCCGGGCACAGGCTGGTGTCCTGCCCACTTACCCGGAGCTGGAGGGGCTCATAACCTGCATGAGCTGTGCTTTCCATTTGGTTTCTGTTTTCCATTCACCTTACACTTGAGCATAATTTAGAGCCTTCCGTAGTTTTCAAGGCCTCTTGGAGAACACAAGGCTACCTGCCAGCACTGTCTCCAGAGATGGGCGTCAGTGTTCTGGTTTCACTTCCACAGCCTGAAACAGTGGCGCTGCTTCCTGACCCACTGCCGTTTGTCCCCAGTGCTGAGACTCTTCGGCAGGGCTGGATTTTATTATATCAGGTGAATTCGCTTCACACCCAGCCATGTGACGTAATGGTGACTTTTCCTTTCCCGCTTGCCTTCTGTTCCCCTGAGTTAATAAACATCATCTTTTCCTTTTAGCTTATTGTTGTTGGTTTTTTTGAGACAGGGTCTCAATATGTACCCCAGACTAGCCTTGAGTTCACTGTGTAGCCCAGGCTGGCCTCAAACTTGCGACCCTGCTTCCTCAGCCTCCTGAGTGTTCGGATTACAGGTGTGTACCACCAGGCCCGGATCAAATAACATCTTTTAGCCTGGCCTAGTGGGAGAGGCCTGTAATCCCAGCACTCTAGAAGGCTGAGGCAGGAGGATCACAAGTTTGAGTTTAGTCTGGGCAACTCAGCAATTCAATTTACGGAGTCTCTGTCTCAAAATAAAAAATAAAAAGGGCTGGGGATGTAGCTCAGTACAAGGGGCCTAGGTTCAATCCCCGGTACTGAAAAAAAACTTACTTCCTTGCTTTTTGTCTTTTTTTTTTTTTTTTCTGTACCACGGATCGAACTTGGGATCTTGTGCGGCAGGCACCGGAACCACTGAGCTAAATCCCTGGCCACTTCCTTGCTTTTGTTATTTCTAATTCAACTCCAAACTCTGCCAAATGTCCACACCTCCAGCAAGGCTTCCCAGTGGATCCAGTGTTCTGTCAGCAAAGGGCTCCACTCTGAGCGGGCACAGCTGCATGGGACCCTCCTTCCTGGCTCCCACCCCTTCACTCCACCTCCAGATCTGCCTGAGCCTTGGAGGATGCTGGGGTGGGGGCCGCCTGGCGGAACTGTGAGCCCCGGCTCAGCAAACAGCTGTGGGTCCGGCAGGCCCAGGGCCCAGGCTGCCACCCGAGAGCCTCACCTCTGCTTTTTGCCACAGCAGTTTCCAGTTCCGGGGATCTCTGTTCTGGGCAACACTGGGCAGCATGGAGCTGTCGCCAGCACCCTGACCTGCAGACTTCACCCACCTCAGAGGCCCAGGTGCCACTCTGGTTACCAGTGTTGCCTTCAGATAGCTGAGCAGAAGGCCCTGCTGGGGCTGGGGGACAGTGCGGGTCAGCAAGGAGGAAATGGCTCTGACAAGAAGGGAGGCGTTCCTGTGCCGCCCGCACTGAGGCTCGGCCTCTGTGGGTGTCACCTCCTGTAGACCGGCGGTCCAGGCCTGGACATGTCTAATGAGGAACAAGAGCGGCTTCTGCCAAAAACACTGAGGCCAAAGACAGATTTGCCTGGGCAGTCAGGGCTGCGGCTGGGCTGTCTTCCTGTCCTGCCAGAGTTCTCAAAGGCAGCTGGGGGACCCTGCTCTCCTGCCTCGGGGCGGAGGAAGCGGCCGCCATCCCGGGGTGCTCCTCAGCCCAAGGCAGAGGTGTCCATGGCCAGGCCTCGGGTCCGCAGGGTGGAGAATCGGGGAAGAAGGCACAGTCCCGAGAATGGTTGGAAACAGAACAGGACGAAGGGCTCTGGGGACATGGTGTGTGTGGCAGGAAGGAGGGAGGCCCTGTGGTCAGGCTGGAGGCAGCGGGGGGGGGGGCTCCCCCTTTCTGCTCCCCCCCGCCCGCTGTCTGGAGAGGGCAGCGTGCCTCCCTACATGCTCAGTCCTGCACCCGGCCCGCCTTCACCGGCCCACAGGCCCCTGTGCCAGGCAGGGGAACAGAGGGCACACAGGGTCCCTTCCAGCTGCCCTGGTTTAGGCCCATGCCACAGGCCCCACTGCCATGGCCCCAGCCCTCAACCTCTCTCTGCCTGCTTCCTCCAAGGAGCAGCCCAGTCTGCTCCCCGATCTTAGCCAAGCTGACTGGCCACTTGGCCTGCTCTGGGGGTTAAGACAGGGCCATCTCACAGGGGCTGGGGACTTAGCTCAGTGGTTCTGCCGCCTACTGCGCAAGCGCAAGGACCCGAGTTCGATCCCCAGTACCAAAAAAAAAAAGACAGGGCCATCTCGGGTCACATTGTCCAAGAGGGATCGGCTGTCAGGAAGCTGTGCTGCCTTTACCCTAGCGGCCTGGAGTCTGGTCAGTCACCACCTCTGTGGTCATGGCTCTGAGCCAGGCCACTGTTGTTCTGTCCTGGGTCTCCTCAGTCAGAACCCTGCAAGGCTCCCACCTCACACCAAGGGAAACTGGGATTCCCTCATCTGCATGGCCTCTCCCCGTTTCCCCTCTGCTGTCCCTCCCCTCCCCCACCTCTGTCCACCGCCTGGGCCCTGCTGTTCCCCGAGCTGGCAGATGCGCCTGCCTCTGGCCTCTCCTCAGGGCACTAATCCCTCCCTGCTGGATGTCCTGGAGCTGTGCTCACACCTCCCACTTCCTGCTGTCTTCCTGGCCCAGCTGCCACCTCCTGGGCCACCAAGGGGAGGAAGTAGCTGGCCCCATGGAGCCCCGAGAGAGGAATCTGTCATGCTCCCTCATCTCCGCTACTCCAGCAAGGGGAGCTGGGAGGACCCAGGGTCCCACAGCTGGCCCAGGGTGCCCTCCACAGCCAGCACCAGGGCGTAAGAGCCACACGACGCTGGGCGGGTGGGGGGTGGATTTAGCTCAGTGGCATCACTCCTGCCTGACAAGCACAGGGTCCTGAATTTGATCCCTGACACACACACAAAGCCACACAATGGGGACGGGGATGTGGCTCAGTGGAACTTGCTTGTGGAGCGTGTGGGAGGGCCTGGCTTCTGTCCCCAGCACCACGAAAGAGTAAAGGAGGAATCAGGGGGCTGACAACTGTGGGAGGAGAGGGTGTGTCACACGTGGTCCTGGGTCTGACTGTGCCAGGGCATGTGGCTGGTGACACGCTGTGAACTACACCCACTCTCTTCTCCTTGGGCTCCCCCAGCTGGGGGGGCGGGGGCTGTTCTCAGACGGGGGTCTGCTCCCGTGCCTGCCCCTCAGCAGGCTGCACACCTGAGCCACTTGCGTGAGGTGGGGCAGAGTTGGACACAGGAACTAGGTTCAACCCTGCGCAGGGCTGTCTGCCTGGGAATTCAGGTCCTGGGCCTAGGACGGGGTCCCAAAGTAGGCATCAGCAGTGGGAGGCAGAGCCCTTTGGCCATGTGACTCCCCCACTGTGTGTGGGGGGGCAGCAGGGGATACCATAGGGAGACCAGGGTCGTCTCCATGGAAACCAGTTAACACTGTTCTCCCCAGGACCTAGGGTGGCCAGGACAGTGAGTGCTGCACTGCACTTCCCACAGCAGGATGAAGGCGACCCCTCAAGCACTCCTGGGGCCTTCCTGAGACTCTGGTCCCCAAGCCTGTGGGGCCGAACTGAACTGTCCCCTTGTGGAGATGCTGCAGGTAAGGGCTGAGCTCTCACTGGGGGTGACAGCAGGTTTGTGTGCCTGTGTGTGCACGCGCCTGTAGGTGTGCATGTGTGTGTGTGTGCGAATGCGTGCAGGAAAGCCCCCAGGCCCACAGAGCCTCCTCCTTGGCACAGCTGGCTCCTGAGGGAAGGGGGAGGGAGGGACCCAAGGGAAGAGGACAGAGGAGGAGCCCTGTGGGGAACCAGGCTGACAGTTTCCATCCGAAGATGAACCTGAACCAATAGTGGCCAGCCCACCTGATCCTGCTCTACCCAGTCCCGCCCTGCATTAGGATGAGCCCCACCCCAGCAGGGCCCCAAGCCCCTGCATCTGCTGGCTGGGAGCGCTGGCCTGATGCCCCCATGTGCAGGTACCTCTGGCTGGGCCACACCCAAATCTGCATGCCTGCTCCTCCTGTCCTTCAGGCTGGGGCAGAAATGTCACTTCTTCTCGAACTGCCCCATTTAAGGTAGGCCCCTCCAATTCCCACTTCCTACAATTGTAGATATTCCTCGATTAACAACCTACCTTTGTAATGACCGCTCAGACTGACAGCTAAGGTGCTGGTCAGACTTACGGCCTGTCTTTTTTTGAGGTGCAGTTCTGTACGTCTTGATAGGGACTCAGTGTATTTTTCTGTACAGTTCACCCTGTTTGTATGGTGCTGTAACTGTTGCTGACTGTACCGTTCAGCACTGTAGTTTATGTTCTTTTTTTTTTTTTTTTGGTACCAGGGATGGAACTTGGGTCCTTGTGCTTGTGCAGCAGGTGACGAAACCACTGAGCTAAATCCCCAGCCCTGTAGTTTATGTTCTGTTATACATCACAGCACTGCATGGGAGAGTTACAGAAGTCAGAGCAAAGTCACCGAGTGGAAGTTTCCTTGGAGCATTTCTTTGATCTGAGGATTGTACACATCTACACAACTCCTCATTTGGTGACCAATCCACGTAACAGACTGGGTTGTTATATGAGGAGTGTCTGTGTTCTTCTTAGAGGATTGGTCTACACTGTCAGTGTCGGCCAGTGAACTCACCCCCTGGCTCAGCGAGTAGGGAGCAGCCAGCTCACTTGCTAATCTCCAAGCCCTGCAAGAGCCAGGAGGTGTGCAACCCTTCATCTTCCATTCTGAAATCCCCACAGCTCAGAACCCCAAGATGTTTTTCTTGAAGTTGGTGCAGAACATGGGGCCGAGGATTTAGCTCAGTGGTTCCAGCAACAGCGCAAGGACCGGAGTTCGATCTCTGGTACCAAAAAAAAAAAAAGAACAACATGGCTCCAGCTTGGTCTCCCTTGACGTGAGCAGCCTTCTGTCTGCAGACTTGGATGCCTCGGGTTTTGTGGTGCTGAGTGATATGTTAGTCGTTGGTTTTCTATGATCCCAAAGGTTAGCGCCTCAGGCAGCACTCAGCATGTACAATCTTTCCGGTTTTTGTGGGCCAGCAGCTGCGAGCAGTTCACCCCGGCTCCCCTGGGTCACCGCCCCTTGCTGGCCGCTGTCTCTTGAGGTCTGGGGGTGGCCCCTTCCCTGCTCAGACTCCGCAGTGTCCTCTGAGGTGGAGGAGGGCTCCTCACAAAAGGGGAAAGCACAGACACGGTGTCTCCGTACCTCCAGGAGGCCTCACTCTGTCCTCAGTGTCCTATGGTCACACAGGTCAGGCCCTGTCCAGTGCTTCGGAGGGGACAGCATGATAGGTGGGTGCTGGGGAGAGGGCGTCCTTTCTGAGCTGCCCGGCAGCTGCCTAAAACCCAGTCTTGCCTGCAAAGCCCGTGTGGCCCACAGGAAGCTGCAGGAGACTGTGGAGCGCATGCCCTGTTCTCCAGACCAGGCCTTGCCCTGGGCCCCACCCATAGCCCCTGGGAGAAACCATCTCCCAAGGGGAGCGGACCAGGCCAGAAGGACCCCAGGCTCTCGCCCGCACCCCTGCCGGGCAGGGAGGCCTCGCTCTGACCCACTGCGCTCCAGCAGTAAGAAGGGGCCCTCGCAGAGGACTTGGGTCTGTCCCACGCGTTGTCACGGGCGTGGGTCACACAAGGGGAAGAGGCGTGGAGGGGACCAAATGGAGGCGGGAGGGGCTGGTGGGACAGGACCGGACCGGACCCCATGAACCTGAGCAGGAGCTCGCAAGACCCCGTGTGCGTGGGGGTCTGCGGGCTTCGCGAGGGCCACTTGGCGGGGACGGCGGAAGAGGGGCGGCGGAAGGAGAGGAGGGCACTCGGTCCCGCTGGCGCGCCCCAAGTGGACCGCGGACCTCTCCAGGCTCAGGGTCTCCGCGTGCGCCTCGAGGGGCTGGGACCCACACTTAGGGTCGTCTGACTCCCCCGTTTCCCGTCAGGAGCTGCATGGGAGGGGCGACCCGGGTGCGGACCTCGGGACCAAGCGGGGCTTGGGGACGCAGCCGGAGTTTGAAAGGGGGCGGTACCGGGCTCTGGGCTGTGGGCGGGGCTCGGGGGGGGCATGCTTGCTGCGGTGGGCGGGGCTCTCGGCAGGGGCGGGGCCGGCCTCCAAAGCAGGGGGTGCCAGGGTCCGGGAGGCGGGAGGCGGGAGGCGGGGCGCGGGCCGGGCCGGCGCGGAAGTCCCGGCAGCCTCGCCGCCATGTCGTCCGGGGACGATGGCTCGGGCCTGAGCAGCCAGGAGGGTCCCCCGCGCGCAGCCGCCCTGCTGTGCGGCCTATACCACGAGGCGGGCCAGCAGCTGCGGCGCCTGCAGGACCAGCTGGCCGCCCGCGACGCCCTCATCGCGCGCCTGCGCGCCCGCCTGGCCGCGCTCGAGGGCCACGCGGCGCCGTCGCTCGTGGACGCGCTGCTGGAGCAGGTGGCGCGCCTCGGGGAGCAGCTGCGGCAACACGAGGGCGGTGGCCAGGAGGCGCAGCTGCGCCAGGTGCGGGCCGGGCCGGGTGGGGCGGCCGGGAGCGGGCACGCGGGGGCGGACGCGAGCGTATGTTCCTCCTCCTGTCACCGAATTGCCTGCTTTCGGTGGGATAAGCGCGAAGGCGGGGAGAGCGCGAGCGCAGCGAGGCGCCGTCGGCGTCGCCCGCGGCCCCTCGGCCTGCGGGGGCGCCCCGTTACCCGGTTGGCCCCGGCTGTTCGGGTTTCCCGGGAAGGAACCGCAGCCTGCAGGGGAGGAACCTGCAGAACATAGTTTTTGTTTCCAGGACTGGCTCCGCAGCCGGACCCAGAGGGAAAGGAACGTGCCTCTTTTGTTTTCTGATTATGAAAGTGATTTTACATATCGGAAAAATAAAGGAAAGGATCAAGAATAAGAATCCCCAGAACCCACAAGGGCGAGGTGGCCAGCGGTCCCGGACGCCTCCCCGTGCTTCTCCTCTGCAAGTGACCGGACGCTTAGCAAGCTGACCCGGTGCTCGCCACGTTTGGCTTTGGGCGGCGTCTTTGAAAGGTGAAGTCCAGTCTGCGGCCAGGCGCCTCCCCACGCCAGCTCTCGCTTCTGAGAAGTGGGTTGCACCGCATCAGGCAGACGGGAAGTTAAGAGTCGCCGGGCTGGGTCCCCGCTGAGTGCCTGCACCTCAGGAGCTGTGGCCGACGCCGGGCCGGGGCCTCCGCTGCGTTGTGGGCTCTCAACACCTGCGGCCAGGTGTCCCTGTGCCCAGCCCAAGGGTGTCCAGGCACCAGCGGGGCCCAGGATGGAACCGGTCTGTGGCGGCAGTGGCACCTCTATGTGGAGGTTTTGTTTTGAGATTTAAAAGTAGTATAATTTTGCAGTTTTATTTAGAGAATTTTGTTGACATTACTCTCGTAATTTTAAATATGGAATTAATGTATGCTCTTCAGTCTGCCGAAACCAACTGACTAAACATTAAACATAGGTAGCACAATGAACCTGTTGAACAAGGGGATTCTGATAAATCCTATCCATTTTCATCGTTGAACTCTTTTCCTGTGACACAGCTCTAGGTTATGTAGTTTGCAGAGATAAATGCAGGCTCACACAAAACTAGTGTGTTTTATGACCACACATACACATCGAAGCCTAACTTTAACAAGCACGGCAGGAACTGTGGCTGTTAAAGCAGTGTAAATACAATGCTTGTTTTTATACTATGTTGTCTTTAAATTTTCTTCCTTCTTCTTAAGTCCCCCCGCACCCCCATACTGGGCCTTGAATCCAAGGCCTTCTTGTTGAACTCTTTATCTCCAGCTGTAGTTTTTTATTTTGAGACAGGGTCTTGCTAAGTTGCCCAGGCTGAGCTTGAACTTGCAGGCCTCCTGCCACAGCCTCCCAGAGTGCTGGAATTACAGGCGTGTGCCACTGTCCCCTGGAATGCTTATTGTCTTTAGGTGCTACCAGTGAATATAACATTGTTATATTTGAAATCATTCATTGTGAATAGCATACTTTAATTTTAGTAGAAATTAATAAATGTGAAAATAAGATAAATGTGAAAACATTACTACCATTCATTTAAAATGGTTCATATAAGTATTATATTTCTATGTGCAGTAATAATAACACTGTGCTTGTGGACAACTGATTAAAACCAGAAAATTGTGAACAAGCTTAGATAACCTAAGGGCCAGAAAGCAATGGAAATGACAACAAACCATCTCACCAGCAACTGACAAGAGAGCGAAGAGGGAGAAGCTGCAGGTGGCCCAATCTGTCCAGGATTAGGAAGAGCAAGCAGCTTTGTTTCTGGAACAGCTCCTTGGGTCTCTGATCCAGAAGAAATCGAGGTCAGGCCAGCAGCCATGTCCATGCCAGCATGAGGGACTGCACCCGCGTGCACCTGGAGTAGCTGAGATGCGATAGAGATAAGGGAACTTCTGGGGACCTCTGGGGTTTCTTCACTCAGTGCAAGTGTTGGTCTGGATGGACCCTGTTCTGTCCTTTAATGTGACAGAGCCTTGCTGAAGAGTCCGTGTGGGCCAGAACGTAGTCCCAGCTGGAGTAAAAGTGGCCTGTGCCTGGCGCAGTGCCTGTGTGTCGGTGGGATGTGTTTCATTCTCTGATGACCCGTGGTGGCACCAGGATCACTGGTGACCTTTGTGGGATCCAGAGCTGGCAGAGAAGAGTGAGCCATCACAGAGCAGTGCGTCCTGAAGGTGCCGTGAAGTGGTCTGGGGTGGAGAACGTGACTGGAGCTGCCAGGCCAAGGGGCCACACCCTGTGACCGCCTTCCTGCCAGCAGTCTGAGGTGACACAGCATGAGGGAGGCTTGTGTGAAGGAGGCATGCGTGTGGGCGTGTCTGTCATTTTTAATAAGAAAAATTTAATACCTGATAAGCAATTATTGCTCACCTGACATTCAGCCTGGGGCCAACCACAGAGCCTGTGAAAGGGAGGTTCATCCTCCTGGCAGCCATGTGTTCACCGAGGTAGCAGAGCAGGATTAAAACCACAGGGCTGCCCAGGACTTAGCTCAGTGGCACTGCCCCGGCTCGAAATTGCAAGGTCGTAAGTTGGATCCCAGGTACAAACAAACCACAGGGTGAGCCAGGCACAGGGGTGCACATCTGTAATCTCAGCTCCTCAGGAGGCTGAGGCAGGAGGACCCCAAGTTCCAGGCCGCTCTGGGCAACTTATCAAGACCCTGTCTCCAAATAAAAAATGGGCGGGGCTGAGGATGTAGCTCGGTGAGAAAGTACTGAGTTCAATCCCCAGTACAAAAGAAAAAAAAAGCTGAGTCATTGGCGGATTGCTATCATCGATGGCCATGTCAGCAGCTCATTAGGAGCAGAGCCCCCAGTTGGGACGAGAGCACCCGAGAGGCTGCCGAGGCAGGTGTATGGGGGCTGGCCAGTGCCTCTGAAGTCTGTGTCTTTAGGGCCCAGGGCGCTGCCTTCCCCAGGGCTCCAGTCCCCCTGTTGCACCTTCATCAGCATCAGAGCAGGCTGCAGACTCGAGTCCGCCTGGGAAGGGCGGGTGATGGCTGACTGAACTGCTCCCCCAACACATGTCCGTCCAGAGCCTGTGAATCTGACCTTGTTTGGAAACAGCTTCTGCAAATATAAGAAGTTAAAAAGAGGTCATATAGGACGAGGGTGGCCCTAATCCAGTGGCCAGTGTCCTTGTGGAATGGCCATGTGGAGATGTACCGGAAGCTCATGTGGAGGCCGAGGCAGACGAGACACGCCCTGACTACCAGGCAGCAACCGGCAGCTGGGAGACCATGCAGGAGCTTCCTGAGGGCCCTCGGAGGCAGCATAGCCCCATCTACACCTGCAGTTTGGACTTCCGGCTTCCAGAACATTCCTGCAGTGTAAACCACCCTGTCTGTGGTACTCTGCTACGGTAGCCCTGGTCATCTAACCCCAGGGCAAAGGCAGAGAGGCTGTGCCCATTGTTAACTGGATGGGACACTGGGCCCATTTCTCTAAATGCACAGCCAGCAATGCTGAAAGCCCTGGGCTCAGGCCAGGCTGTCCCACTGCCGTGGGAGGAGGTCGGCTGCCAGGGGGCCACCTGAGCAAGGCTGGGGTGGAGTTCCCATCCATCCCCAGGCCTGTGATGTCCGGTTCTCGGATACATGGCTGTCTGTGTTTCTGTTCGTATCTAGGTAGATGGGGAGGCAGATACAGGACATGCATTTGTCCTGATCAACTTCAGGAGCTGAAGGTGATGCTTCTCTGCTTCCTGCTGAAGCATAGCTTTCAGCGAGTGTGACGCGCGTAGACCTGGGGGTCTCCATCTAGGCCCCATCGGTGTGGGGAGCTGGGCCTGGTTCAGTGTCCCTGGCGCTTCTCTCCCACCTGTACCACGTAAGCGCCAGAGCTGCATGGTGCTGGTGAGGGGAAGGTAGGCAGGAGTGGGCCTGGCCCACTGGGGTCCGTGACACTGCCGAAAGGGAGTCCAGGAGCCCCCGCTACATCGCCCACTGAGTAAGGATGTGGGAAAGGCCTGCTTGCGCCATTCCTTCACGAATGGTTGGTTTCAAAAGAAAACAAATTCAAGGCTAGGAAACAGACACGTGCTTTTGGCTTCAGGCCCAGTGCCAGGGGACTAATCGGCAGGAGGACTTGAGAGGAAAGGGGACCCGGCCTTGCTGTCCTGTTGTAGGAGTTTGTGTTGAGGCCGTGGGCAGGCTCAGCCAGGCAGGTGCTTGTGGCATGTGCATGAGTGCCCTGGCTTGGGCAGGGCAGTTGGCACCCGCGGGCACCTGCGGCCTTGGGAGGGCAGGGCTGCCTGAGGGGTGGCCCTGGGGCACCTCTCCGCTGTCCCGAGGCTCTGCCCAGCTTTCAGAGGTTGCAGCCTCCTCGCGCACAGGCAGGCCGGTCTCTCCCAAGGCCGGGCGCATGCAGGTCAGGCAGAGGAGGGGAGTAATGGCTGGTGAGAGTGGCGAGTGGCCCTCCCCTGGCCTGGGAGGTGGCCCGCCTGGGAGGCAGGTGACAGGAGGCAGGTGCTGCGCTTTGGGCAGACACCCTGGAGCTGGGGTGAGGAGCGTCTGCTCCTGAGCTCCCCCAGGACTCTCTGCATCGGCCCCCAGGTAATGGTTATTCAGAGGGTTCCTGGAAGACAGGAAAGCACAGAATCGTCATTTTGGCTGGGCCTGGTGCCAAGTGCCTAAAGTCCCTCACTGGAGATCGGTGTGGACTGCAGAGAGACCCTGTCCCAAAACAAAAACATAACAAAACAAAATTGTCATTTTAAGACCTTTTTTAAAAAAAGGAGGCATCAGGGTTGCGCATATTAGTTTCCTAGAACTGCCACCAAAAAAAGTACCACAAACTTGGCGGCTGAAGGCAACGGCAATTGAGCGCTTTCACAGTTCTGGGGGCTAGAAGCCCACAGTAAGGTGCCAGCTCTGTCCAGAGGCTCTGGGGAGGGCCCCCAACCTCCTCAGCCTCTGCCTATGGCCGCAGTCCCTGGGGTGCCTTGGTGGAGGAGCATCGCTTCGGTCTCTGTCTTCCTGTGCGCGACTGCCTCCATTTCCCTCTTCCTGTGAGGACATCTGTGATTGATATGGGGAAAATCTAACTGCTAACCTGTTAGATGTTGGATACATCAAGTTCATGTTCCCCAAAATCAAAGAATGAATTCTAAGGAATAACAGAGGTTAAGAGCAGGAAAACTTCACTGAGAGCTACCTCCTGAGACAGGAGAGGACCTACAAGTGGGTTGCCACAGACTCCACTTCTCAGGGGAAGTTTTTGGGTTTTTTTTGGTACCGGGGATCGAACTTGGGTCCTTGCGCTTGCGTGGCAGGCGCCGGAACCACTGAGCTAAATCCCCAGCCCTCAGGGGAAGTTTTATACAGCAAAATCACAAGATGGGTACAATGTGGGTCAAAACTATGATCAAGCAGTAAGATTACAAGTATAGCCACTTAGGCAACATTGATCCAGTGGGGAAGCAGGTCACATGGCAAGGGAAGAACAAAGAGCTTTTCAGGAAGGGGTGGACTAGGAGGTCTTGGTCACCTGGCAGGGTGGCTGATGCCTATCTGGACTTTATCGGACCAGGAGATACCAATTACAGTATAATCTAATTTATTCCTTATCCCCCGGGGAGGCATGTAGGCCTGGCCATTCCATCTTTATCTTCTTTTTTTTTTTGGCACCGGGGATTGAATTCAGGTCCTTCTGCTTGCAAGGCAGGTGGTGGCACCACTGAGCTAAATCCCCGGCCATTCCATCTTTATCTTGAGGCCTGGCCTTCAACAGATGCACCACCAGCCATGGTTTGGTGGTGTTCTCTTCTGCACTGACTCCCTCGAGGGCCCAGCCCTGTCTGACACAGTTCTACCTAACTTAGCTGTCTACAGTAGGATTGGATCAGGGCCCATCCCAACCAGGGCCAGATCAATATGACTTGATCTTTTAAAAATTATAGATATCATTTATTGAGTACTTCTTAATATGTGAAACAGCACCTTTACTTTTATCATTTTATGTGAGCCTCCAGAAACCCTGTAAGGTAGGGTCCATGTCACCTGCTCTGTACACGGGGAACAGAAGCGTAGTATTGTTCCCAGAATGGCAAAGCACAGCGGTAAGCCACTGATCTTAACCAGTGACATCTGCGGAGACCCTGTTCCAAACAAGGTCCTGTTCCCAGGCCATCCTCTGGGGCTCCCCCTGCAGGAAGTCTCTCCTTTCCTATCCAAGACATGTTCGGGTTGCTACTTTTAGTAATTTGTTGATTTGAAGTCCAAAACTGTGAACTCGCTCCTGAGAACAGTTTTAGATGACGCTGTATCCCACCCAGCACCCTATGAACTGGGAAACAGGCTCGCGCTGGTGTGTTCCCCGTGGGGTGCGGTGATCTAGAGGTGTGTTTGGCAGCCTTTCTTGGGCTCCATGGTCGGCTGCTGTTGACCCTGCTGCTTCTGTTCTGCCCAGCAGGAAGTGGAGAGACTCACCCGGCGCCTGGAGGACAGAGAGCGGGTGCTGCAGCAGGTCCTGAGCCAGCCGTGGCATGAGCATGACAAGGAGGTGGCCCTGCTGCGGAGGAGCGTGGCAGAGAAGGAGCGGGCCCGGGCCGCCAGCGGCCTGCTGTGCCGCTCGCTGGCCGGCGAGACCCAGCAGCTTCGCAGGACGCTGGCCGCCACCGCCCACATCTGCCAGCACCTGGCCAGGTGTCTGGAGGAGCGGCCATGCGCACAGGGGGCCGTGGGGGACAAAGGCCCGGACAAGGTACAGTGGGCTGAGGTGTTGCCGGGAGGCAGGGCGAGCTCTGTGAGGACAGCCCGCTGGGGCCCGAGCACCCTGGGGACGGCTGCCTCCCAGCCCTGTGCTGCCCAGCGCACCTGTGCGAGTGGGCACAGCACCTTGGTTGGCTCTGCCTGCGAAGGGCTGGGGACGGAGGAGCTGCTGGCCAAGTGTTGTCACTCGTGTGCTCTGCGGAGGAGAAAACACGCACAATGATGCCGCCGGGCCCGGCAAGGGCTCCAGACCCAACACATGCAGGGTTCAGCCCCACACCAAAGGTGCCAGCTTCCTCACTCTCTGTGCATCCGAGTGGCAGGACTGCCCCTGAGGGCTCAGCAGAGTCACAACTGCCACCTCTGAGTGGCTTTGGGGATATCTGTGCCATCAGTGGGGATACTCGGGCGTCCTTGTAAACACTGTGACCTTCAGCTGGACACGGTGTGAGATGGGCCAGCAGATGGTAGCCCGGGACTCCTGGGCCCGGCGGCTGTGGCACCTGAGAAGAGACAAGGCAGGGTGGGGAGAGGGCCGTGCCCAGCCTGCTGGGGACAGCAGGGCGGCTTGGGTTCCCATGTTGGCATCCAGAGGGTGTCATGGGGGTGCAGGGGCACCGCAGGCCGGGTGTCCTGGCAGGAGGAGCAGAGGCCGGTGGGGCTTGGCGCTGCCCGAGGTGCCTTCTTCCCACTGTTAGCGAGCAGGACGCACCTTTCCGGGTCGTGAGGTTCTGGGCGGCATCTCTCTGGGACACGGCGGTACTTCAGAAACCCACACACAGCACCGGCTGCGGGGAGGCAGGCACCCGGTTCTGCGCCACTGTGACATTTGCACTGTGGCTCTGCCAGTGGCCACCCAGAATGGCCAGCCAAAGGGGAAGGGCGGCAGCCACCCCGTCTGTCTAATGTCACTGCTCAGCCCTGGGGATGGCTGAGTCACCTGGGGCTTTCCAGGGAAGGCTGGGCTAGGACACGCACTTCCTGTCCTTCAAGGGGAATTCCCAAAAATAACATCACTGAGAAAAAAAAAGAAGGCCAGGCATAATGGTGCATCCCTGTATTCCCAGCACTCAGCAGGCTGAGGCAGGAGGATTGCCGTGAGTTCAAGGCCAGCCTGGGCTACAAAGAGTTCAAGTCCAGCTTGAACCACATAGCGAGACACTGTCTCAAAAAACAATAAATAAAAATAATGTCACTGACCCAGTCCCCTGCACTGCCTAGTGCATGAGTGCATGGAACTTCTGGGGCACAGTTGATGTCTCGTGTGCTTTTCAGTTAAGTCAGCCTGTTCCTGTCAGGGGCTGGAGTGGGATGTGGCTTCCTCATTGGACCTCGACCCTGCAGAGGCTCTGCAAGGCCACTGCCCACCTGAGGAAGCCACAGCTGCCGGATGTGCACAGGAGCGCATGGGGGCGAGGAGGGAGTGGGCTCTGGGCCCTGCCCCTGCCCCTGCCAGGTTCCTGTCCTCCCTGCCCCCCGCAATGGTAGAGTCTCGGTGGGGAGAGCTTTCATTCTATGTGGAGCGCTCATCCTGGAGACCCTGAGCTCTAGGGCGCTTGGATCGGGGAGTCCCCCACATGACCGTGCCGTGGCAGGAAGAGCCTAGGGCCTCATAGGGAGCGGGAGCTGGAAGGCCCTTGTGGGTCTGCTCTGCGCCTGTCACCAGAGCAGTTCCTGATGGGTGAGGTGTGGGGGCCCTGACCTCTGCCTCAGCATGGGCTGGGGTCCCTTCCTGTGCAGTGATGCGGCTTCTCCTGTGTTCCTTTCTCACATAGCCAGAGCGGACGGGTGGGGACGCCGCTGTCCAGGCTGTCGTTGAGAAGTTACAGGAGGAAAATCGGCTGCTGAAACAGAAAGTGACCCACGTGAGTGTCCCCAGCATTCCCTGAGGAAAGCACCTGCCCTGGCAGGCGACGGGTTCTTTGCTCAGCTCGGAGCCTGGCCTTTCTCAGAGGATGTGCAGGATACACCCTGCCTTCCAGCCCCCAGAATTAATCCACCAGTTGAGAAAGGAAGTACAGGAACTGCTTTCAGAAAGTAGGTTGTGTTTTGTTTAGTTTTGTTTTGTTTCTGGTAGCACTGGGGATCAAACCCAGGGCCTTTGCACTGAGCTATATCCCCAGCCTTATTTTTGAAAAAAGAAAAATTTAAAAAAATGTTATTTTGAGGCAGGGTCTTGTTAAAGTGCCCAGGCTGAGGTGGAACTTGTAGTCCTCCTGCCTCAGCCTCTCAGCATGCTGAGATTACAGGTGTGTACCACCACACCCAACTAACTTTTTTTGGACACAGCTGGGGATTGACCCTTGGGCCTGTGGATGCTAGGCAAGTGCTCTACCATTGAGCTACATCCCCAGCCCTTTTTATTTTTTGAGGCAGATGGATAAGTTCCCGGGCCGGGTTTAAACTTTTCATCCTCCTGCCTCAGCCTCCCAAGCGGTTGCTATCACAGGCGAGCATCACCTTGTCTAGCAGAAAGTAGTTTTTCAGGCAGGAAAACTGAGTTAAGCACATGTCTGGGAGCGCTGCTGTGGATGTCACCGTGGTGACATATTCCCAGTGCGGCCTCCTGTGCACTGTGGCCACTGGCCCTGGCCCTGCTCCACAGGTGGAAGATCTCAACGCCAAGTGGCAGCGCTACGACGCCAGCAGGGACGAGTATGTGAGGGGGCTACAGGAGCAGCTGCGGGGGCTGCCGGCGCCCCGGGAGCCTGAGCTGATGAGGAAGGAGATCTCCCGGCTCAACCACCAGCTGGAGGCCAAGATGCGCGACTGCGAGGCCCTGAGGACTGCCCGGGAGGCTGCCCTGGAGCGCGTGCAGATGTTGGAGCAGCAGGTGTGGGCCCGGGGCCAGGCCCCCTTGGTGGCACTGGGGGGGGCTGTGGTCGTGGGGAGAGACGAGTGTCACGTGTCTTCCCAGATCCTCGCTCACAAGGATGACTTCATGTCGGAAAGGGCAGATCGGGAGCGTGCTCAGAGCAGGATTGAGGAGCTGGAGGAGAGGGTGGCCTCACTCCTCCGGGCGCCCCGGGGACAGGTGGGTGCAGGCGCTTCTCCACTGGGTTGGCTGGGAGTTGCGTTTTCTCTGTGAATGTCTGGCCTGCCTGCTGCCTGGGTTGCCGGGGCTGAGCTGTGACAGGCCCGGCCGGACCCGGGTGTGGGCAGGGCCCCTCATGCTCCAGCGGCGTCCAGCAGTGGAGCAGGCAGGCATGGTGCCTGTGCGTCACAGTTAGGTGTCCGAGGAGCAGCTGCATCCACGTCTGTCCTGCAGGGAGGCCAAGACCTGGTCACTATGTCACGGGGCCCTCAGTGCAGTCCCCCTGGAGTGGCTGTAACTGACAGGCCCGGCAGGGCACCAGCTGCCTCTTCCCACTCCTCCTGTTCAGACCTCTGTTCCACACTCGTCCTGGGGGAGGCAATGTCTTCAGCCGCTGAGTGTCAGATGCGGCTGTCCTGGGGTTTCCTGTCCTGACGCGGACTGGGCAGTGGCGGTGCCAGCACTGACTGTGGACCTGCGCTGGCAGAGGGTGTGAGCAGGATGCACGCTGGGCCCGTGGGTGGCCCCTGCCTCCCTCTCCCCCACAAGATGTGGGGAGCCACAGCAAACATCTTTCTTCTTAGACTAAGTCTCCTGCAGGAGCCAGCGCAGGCACCAGTTCTACCTGTGGATGGGGGACCAGGGTGGGATTCATCTGTAGCCAGCAAGGAGGTGCCAGAGGCTGCGCCAGCCCCAGCAGGCCAGGGCAGACCCTACACGTTGGCAGCCTTCTCCCTGTCTGTGTGTTCTGTGACTCCTGGTTCTCCCTGAGCCCTGGCCTGTAGGTGCGGGGCAGGATCCTCCAGCCCATCCCCTGCGGGGGAGGGAAGCAGGGGTTTCCTGGATTTGCTTGTGCCTGGGCATTTTCTAGCCTCATGTCTAGGATGGTCCAGGTGGCTCGTCCAGGGGCCTCTCAGACTTCTGGGCAGAGGAGTGACCAGCAGCACTTCCGAGCCTGCTGAGCCCGGGGCAGGGTTCCTGGTGAGACTGCTATGGCCGGGAGCACTGGGAGCCCTGAACAGTGGTGCTGGGGCGTGGGTGCTGAGCCGCAGACCTGAGGGAGGCCCAAATTTGGATTCAGAGTGGAAAGGAAGGGCCAGGCCCACGTGGATGATGGCACTGCCATCCGCAGGACGGCCCCCTGCTGCCACCAGGCCCTCGGCATGGTGCAGGGCGGGCTGGGCGCAGCCCCTCCTGCTCTGCGGTGGTTCCGGTGGGGGATGTCAGAGCCAGCTGTAAGTGGGACTCACTTGGGCTGTTCCCTCCGGGGTCCCTCCGGTGCCAGGGGTAGCGGGTGAGGCATTTTTAGCTGCCGGAACCCGAGCCCGGCCTCTGTTTTTCCTGTAGGACCCCCGAGAGCTGGGTGCCAGCTGGATCCATGGCGGGAGCAAGACGGCCATGGTAGACACCGACGTGCTGGAGCTCGAGGCACCCGGGGGCTGGAGGCTGGAAGCCCCTGAGGAGGGTGGGCGCCCCAGCACAGCCCAGAGAGGACAGGGCGACCTCCAGTGCCCGCACTGCCTGCGCCACTTCAGTGATGAGCAGGGCGAGGCGCTCCTGGGCCACCTGGCGGAGTGCTGCCAGTGAGGGGCCACCCGGCCGCAGATGCGCGCTGAGGTGGCCAGGTGGGGAGACCGCTCTATGAGGTGCAGCTCAGAGCGCCCTCGGTCCCTGTGGCTGCAGACAGGCAGGTTGGTGGTGCCCAGCAGAGCGTGGCGGTCTCCTCTGCTGGAGTGCAGGTCCCCACACTGCCAGGGAAGCCAGACCCGTCCCCGTGTGCCAGGAAGGAGTAGCCCCGGAGCCACGTCCTGCTCCACAGTGTCCCACGTGTCCCCACCCAGTGCAGAGCCATGTCACACCGGGGGCTGTCGCACTGAACACTTGCACTGCAGTAGCGTTTGTCCCATATCTGGAGGTGAAATACATATGGTTATCAGTAACATCCTCACTGCCATGACTGCTCTGGGACCTCAGGCTGGGGACATTCCTGGCTCACTCTGAGAGGAGCTGAGGGCAGCAGAGAGGGGCACCGCTGTGCCAGCTCTTCAGCAGCTGCACAGCCAGGCAGATGCCTCAGCTCCCAGTCTTACCCACACTCCTGGGCGTGCAGCCCCAATGTCGCCCTGGACAGGACCAAGGCCTTGAGCTGGGAGCTGACCCCAGGATCTTCCAGGTGCTGGTATTGCGGGGTTTGGCAGCAGCCATGGACGCTCCGAGGTGACCCAGCACACTGCCCTTGGCTGCCTGTCCTGGTCCTGGCCTGGGCAGTGAAGGAGGGCCTGGCAGGGAGCGGGCCAATCTCCGGGCAGAGACAGTCAGCGGGAGCCGTGCTGTACTTCTCTCCTTCAGTCCCGCAGCCCAGAGCCCCACATTTCCATGCACCTCAGCTCTCGGTTGTGGGTCAGGTGTCCCCTCCCCGGTGCAGCCCCCATGGGCCCCTCAGTGCTGCTGGAGGAATGGGGCTACCTGAGCACAGAAATGGGGGGCAGCTTTGCTCCTGAGAGAGGAGCCCCAGGCAGAGGAGCTCCAAACCCCTACTGACCCTGAGATGTGAGCCTGAGGACCTTGGGGAGCCCTGGGAGGGAGCAGAACTGGGGGAGTTCTGACCATGCTAAAGGGAGCAGTCGGGATCTGAGTCCGGGGGAACTTGGTAACCCCTAGCCCGGCACATGCCGGGAGCAAGGTCACCCAGGATGAATCAGAACAGCCTTGCCCTACAGAACCACCCAAGTTCCAGGGGGCCAAACACAGACTTCCTTTTTTCCTTTTTTTGAGATAGGGTCTCGCTGTGTAGTTCGGGCCTTGAACTCAGTATGTAGCCCAGGCTGGCCTCAAACTTAGAGATCTTCCTGCCTCAGCCTCCTAAGTATGGGGATCACAGCTGTGGCCAGTTAAAAAACCCAATACTGGGCCGGGGATTTAGCTCAGTGGTTCCGGCGTCTGCCTCCCAAGCGCAAAGTCCCGAGTTCGATCCCTGGTACCACAAAAAAAAAAAACCAACAAAAATACCCAATACTTCACAAAAAGACGACAGAACTGGGGTCTCAGACTGTTAGCCCAGCCTCAGGGCTTACCAGAGTGGAGTCTGAGATAACGTATTTCTGGAAATAAAGGGATGTGAAATAAAATGAAGTCAGAATAAAGGTATTTTAGACAAACACAAGCTAAAAAAATTTATATCCCTCAGGCTGTCCTAGAAGAAATACCTGTATTATAGAAATTGTTCACACTGTGCCGGGGATAGTGGCCCACGCCTGTAATCCAGCTACTTGAGAGGCTGAAGCAGGAAGATCGCAAGTTCAAGGCCAGCCTGGGCAACTTAGATGTTGTTTCAAAATAAAGGGGGCTGGGGATGTAGCTCAGTGGCAAGTGTTTGCCTCGCCTGTGTGAGGCCCTGGGTGGTCTTCAACATTGCAAAAAAGAAAAATTATTCAGCCTAAAGGAAAATGATCTGTATAGAAGAATAGAAACAAAAGAATAAAGAGCATGAGTGTGAGTAGAGGTGAATAAGCAATGGTTTAAAACACATGTAAAGGTACGGTGGACCAAGATGGTGGCGCCCAGTGAGGGGCAGGCGTTTGCCTCGGGGCTTGAAAAGAATTGGGGTGTTGTTCGTTCCCGTTCCCGGAAAGTCCAGCAGCTGATAGATGGGGGGATTGCCTCGGAAGAGGGAGGAGCAGAGGCAAGAGTTCTCCAGTTAGCCCTGGGTCTGGGGCAGGATCACTGGAGAGGGCTGGGGGAATTTAGGCCTGGAGGGAGAGCAGAGGCTGGGGAGAGTCCGAGCGACTTTGCCTGTGGGGGTGGCTTCCTGGGTTTTGAAAGAGGTTTCTATGATTGATGGGCTCTGATTTCCTCAGAATTTACTTAATTCTGCACCAGGGGCAGACTTTTGTCCTGAGATTTTTGGGGGCGGAAAAGAGGGCCATTAAGTGAATGAACGTCCGTAACTTCTTTTTTTTTTGGTACCAGGGATCGAACTCGGGTCCTTGCGCTTGCGCAGCAGGCGGTGAAACCACTGAGCTACATCCCCGGCCCATCCATAACTTCTTAGTTGGGGTTCCAGCCCTTTTTGAGCCAGAGACCCCTTCGGCAGTCTAGTAAAGCTTATGAGCCATTTTTTCTGAAAAAATGTTTTAAAATTCATACAGCAAATTACTCAGGATCATCTTTTTCTTCTGTTGCTTCTTTTTTTAAAGCTAGGGTTACACTGTGTTGCCCAGATTGGCCTTGATCTCACTCTCAACTCTCAGGAAACTGGGATTACAGGCGGGCGCCACCACATCTGATTACCGAGGATTACAAATGAAGCCAATTACTTTAGAATGTAGTTAAGAGAGTGGAAGAGAAAAAAATGTGCATTAATGTGCTTTTTTATTAGTTAGACAACACGTAGTACGTCTACTATCAACCATAATTTTGAAATAATGTTGAATGCAAATAGTATTTCAAAACGTGGCCAACAACCATAACGTGAGAAAATTATTTCCATATGTGACAGATTCACAGATACTGCCTATACTACAGTGGCTCTTAAAAAGCCTTCATAATTGAAGAAATACTACTTCTCAGAGAGGCTAGTGAAATGTCATTTTATTCCCATCCAAATTTGTAGATAGTTTTTTCCAAGAACCACATCTTCCTCAGGCTTTGGATCTGAGGTAGATTCTTAAAATAAATTTATTTCTTTCAAGCCAAAAAAAAAAAAAAGAAATGGCCACAACCACTCATTAGGTGTGTGTACATGGGGTGTATTTAATGGACTTGCACTACTGTAAGATTTTTGCATTGATTTAAGGTGGGCTGTAATTAAGGAAGCATATTGGAATTTCTAGAGTAAACCATTAAAACAGTGTAAAATACTTAATAAAAAGCTAATAGGAGAGCTGGGGATTTAGTTCAGTGGCACTGCGCTTGCCTCACAAGCACAAGGTCCTGAGTTCGATCCCCGGTACCAAAAAAAAAGAAAGCTAATAGGAGCTGGGCATGGTGGCACATACCTATAATTCCAGCACTTGGGAGACTGAGGCGGGAGGATCCCCGTGAGTTTGAGACCAGCTTTCCTCTCTCTTTTTCGCGGTGGAGGCTCTGGGCGGCAGTGTTCCTCACACCAAGGGTGGCTCTGTGCACACAGGCCAGGGACTCCCCGCGGCTCTGCCCCTGCTCTTGACACCCTTGGTTTGTCTGGAGATTTTCCTGCTCTGAACAATTTGTGTGCACCCCTCCACCTTCTGCCTCCTTCTCTCTCCTTACTGGGGATTGCACCAGGTCCTTTGCACTGCACTACATTCCCAGCACTCTTAATTCATTTATTCATTTTGGGTTTTGTGACAGGTTCTCACTAAATTGCTCAGTCTTGTGACCCTCCTCTTCAGCCTCCTGAGGAGCTGGGATTACAGGTGTATGCTGCCACTTCCAGTTTATATTAATTTTTAAAAATTCTTTTTCTCCCTGTTCTTTAGCATGCAATAATGTATCAAACTAGTGTCAAATCCCCTTTTGTTTTGTACTCAGGGCCTTTGCATTGAGCTATATACCCAGCCCTTTTTATTCTGAAATGGGTCCTACTAAATTGCTGTAGTTGCCGAGGACAGGCTTGAACTTGCAGTCCTCCTGCCACAGCTTCTAGAGTGCTGGCAGTACAGGTATGCCCCAATGTGCCTGGCTAATTTTTTATTTCAGTGATTATGCTTTTCCAATTCTGTAGTTTCCAGTTGGTTCTTTGAAACGAGTCATGATCTGTCGATGAATCATTACCATCATACCGTTGTCCCCATCTTCCCATCTCTAATCATGGTTCCTTCATTTCTGTGGCCTTCCCTTACCTACACTGGGGGTTTAACCTGGGGCCTTGCACGTGCCAGGCAAGTGCTCTACCACTGAGCTACATCCCCAACTAGATTTTAAAAGTTTGGGTTTTTTTTGGTACCTGGGATCGAACTCAGGACCTTGTGCTTATGAGCCAGGCGTGGTGCCACTGAGCTAAATTCCCAGCACTTAGGAGTTTTTGGGTTTTTTTTGGTATCGGGGATTGAACTCAGGTTCTTGCGCTTGCGCAGCAGGCGGCAAAACCACTGAGCTAAATCCCTGGCCCACCAGTTTTGTTTTGATGAAGGGTCTTGCTAAGTTGCCCAGACTGGCCTTGAACTCACAATCCTCCCGCCTCAGCCTCCCAATTAGCTAGGATTACAATCATGTGGCACTGCACCCAGCTATGTAAAAGTATTTTTCTGGTAAATCTGACATCTACTTTCTTTCACAAAGTGTCTATTTTTTTTTTTTTTTTGGCACCAGGGATCAAACTCGGGACCCTGCGCTTGTGAGGCAGGCGGCAGAACCACTGAGCTAAATCCCTGGCCCAGCAGTGTCTGCTTTTAATTTTTCCCTCACGGGTGTATAGAACATACCTTCCTGTTCCTTCGAGCTTTGCACTTTTATTGGAAACTTGAAGTTTTAGATAATACAGCAGCTTCTCCTCCAGTTTTGCGTCCTGAAGTTTGTTACCTGTGGGCAACTATGGTCTAAAATTACCAGATGGAAAATTCCAGAAGGAATCCTAGGCTTGGACTTTCGAAGTGTGCCGAGTAGGGCAGTGATGCAGTCTTGCTCCACCCCACTGTGTGCATGTTTCTCCTTCGCCAGCTGCGCGCTGCCCGCCCATTCCCAGGTCAGTCAGCCAGAACAGAGACAAGGTGGAGGGGCTGGTGAGCTGGACAAGCTGAGGAGCAGTGTAGAATGCTTTCTTCACATGGAAGGGTGAGCACTCTCAGTGAGGAAACAAACTGTGCTAAGGGTGCTGGTGTCTGTGATGAGGATGCACCTACTTGTGAAACTGTGAAGCAGGGTTTACGCTGGCTTTGCTGTCACACCTCAAACTGCAAAGTCACGACCACTATGCATGGTGATTACTTAGGGACAGAAACAAGTGCCAGGGCTGCTGCCTGCAGGGTCAGGGGTCTCCTGGGGACCCTAGACTGCACTCCCTGCAGAAAATGGCAGAAAACGGAAATAATCCTTGGTTCTAAGCCTAGCCCTGTATTAGTCAGCTTTCTATTCCTGAGATGCAGTACCAGACATCCATGGCTTAGAGGAGAGGTGGACTTTGGCTTACGGTTTCACAGGGTTCAGTCCATGGCTGCCAGGTCCACAGCAGGAATGTCATAGAGGAAGGGTACAGCAGAGCAAAGGTGCATGGCAGCTGGAGCAGAGGGCAGGAGAAGAGCCAGAGGAAGGGGCAAGAGACCAGGTCCTGCCCTCATGAACCCCACAGATAAGCAGAAGTGTCTGTTACTACCACCTGGGTGGCTCCTGAGCCAATCACGTTGACAATCTAGATGAACCATCACACAGCCATTTTTGTTGTTGCTTTTGGTACTGGGGATCAAACTCAGGACCTTGACTTTTTTTTTTTTGGTACCAGAGGTTGAACTCAGGTCCTTGTGCTTGCAAGGCAGGCGATGGAACCACTGAGCTAAATCCCTGGCCCAGTACCTAGACTTTTTATTTTCAGGGTTTTTTTCAGTCATCTGTTTTTTTGTTTTTTTTTTTGGTACTGGGGATTGAACTGGGGTCCTTGCGCTTGCGCAGCAGGCAGTGAAACCACTGAGCTAAATCCCCGCCCCCTCAGCCATCTGTTTTAAACATTAATATATATGACATCAAACTCACTGGTAATACCTGGTGAAATTTCTAATCTGCGATTCATTCTGTCCAGCCTATTTTTCATTTCAGATTGTTTTCCTCAGATCTCCTTGTGTCCCCTTCCCCTCCTGTCCTGTGTCCCTCCAGGTGCCTGCCTGGTAACTCACCGCTCGGGGCCTGTTTCTCTGGGCTTTGCACGGCCTGGTGACTGGACACTGATGCTTTGTTCTCCTTGGCTGAGGCGGGAGGTGTGCATCCCATAGAGCACGCTGGGCTTCCTGCAGCAGCTGTGACGTGGGCTCTTGAGGTCCCTTGGGCTGACTGCACAACTGGCTCCCACCAAGGGGGATGCCCCAAGCAGGGCCAGCCCATACCCCCACACCCCCCGCCTCCTGGCCGGCCCAGCCATCTGCTGACTGCTGTCTGGTTTATAGGGTTCGGGCAACAGGCAGGGGAGGGCTCAGCCCAAGGTTGAAGGGGCCTGTCACGGTGGGTCCTGGTTCTGGGGTCCTGGCTGCCCTGGCTCTCTGTGGCTGGGGAGCGGGCAGAGCTCTTCGGGCTGGGCTCAGCCCCCTGCCCTCCCCGTCACTGTGCAGTCACTTCGTGTCATGGGAGCTGTGTGCATAACCTCACACGTGCAAATGTGTATACATTTTTGCTTTTCTCTTGAGTGGACGGTGCACATCTGTAATCTCAGCACTTTAGGAGGCTGAGGCAAGAGGATGGTGAGGCCTAGCCTAGGCAACTTGGCATTTTACTAAGAACCTGTCTCAAAAAATACATCTCTGTATACGTGTGTCTATCTGGCTGTGAAATACATGTATGAGAAAGCATTAATCCTTACTTTTCCTTACCATCTCATTTGGTTTCTGAGAGGGGGTCTTGCTATGCTGTCCAGCCTCATCTCAAAGTCCTGGGCTCAAGGGATCCTCCTTCCTCAGCCTCCACAGTAGTGGGGATTACAGGCATCCACCAACACGCCCAGATAGTTGGGACTTTTTTATGGCATGAATATGTATATGAAGATCAATAAAATTTTCCATGTTAAGTTGCTGTCTAGTCATGGACTCTTCCAGGAGTGCAGTGCTATGCAGAGGGCACAGGCAAGTGAGGCCCCTGGGGGCCCCCAGGGCAGGGTGGGATGCCACCCACCTCCAGGCCAGGGAGGGTCGACCTCCGGACTCCCAATCACCTCTCTTCTCTCCTCAGCTGGGCTTGAACCTGCAGTCCTCCTGCCTCAGCTTCCCAAAGTGCTGCCAATAGGGGAATGCACCACCACACCCAGCTCACCCTCGTATTTCTTTGTTTCCAAGAGCAAACACTGCCCCCTTGAGGAAAGAGCCAAAGAAACACGTGGGGGCCCTAGAACAGGGGTGGGTGGGCAGCCAGGGGTGGTGCACCGGTGTGGGGGCAGCCAGGGGCTCCCCACCAGCACTCAGTCCCAGCAGTCCTTGCTGCTGTCACTGTGGAGACCCTGAGGTTCCTCTTAGCTGCTGATGTGGCTCTGTTAGACAGATCGGGAGGGCCTGGTCCCCAGCACAGCATCAGGACCATCCCAGGAAGACCGTTGGGGACACGGCTGTGGCCAAAGTGCTGTCCCCAGGGCCTGTCTTGGCTGAACTGTCCCATGGACAAAGGGGCTGTGTGTCTTCTTCCACCTGGAAAAACAAAGCCAAGCAAACAGGGAGACCCCCACCCCCACCCAGCCAGGACCTGTTGGCCCCTTGGCACAGAAGTCCAGGCAGCTGTTCTGGGCCTGGGGCCTGGGGCGCCGGGTACCAGGTTGCAGTTCTGCATGTGCTCCCAGATACCTGCAGGCCACAGGCCCTGTCCTGCCCACTGGGCCCCTGCTGTGCCAGGGCACTGGCCCTGCTCGGGGCACATCCTAGCACAAGGTCCCTTGTCCCTGAGGGGGAACCCCTGCTTCTAGGCACATCCACATGAGGCTTCTGAGCAGCCTCTGGCTGTGTCCTGCCCACTGCAGTCTGGGTGCCTGGGCCCATCCAGCCTAAGGACACTGAGGCCCCCAGGCACCCTGCGAGGATGCCTGGGATCAATGAAGTCTCTCCATGGGCAGGAGCTGGCTCCCCAAGAGAGCACATCACCCACTTGCCACCCACAGGCCCCGGCGCCCCAGCAGAAAGCAACCAGACGAGGTCTCCTGCTGTACTAATGTATTCCATCTTTCAAAAAGAAAGACATGATTTTAATATTACTTAACAATATGTTAAAAAGTAGCCAGGCAGGCCTCCGTGTTAATACGGTCATACGCTCTAAACGGACTGGATGGTGAGTGCTGGGTGGGCTTTGTCGTCAACGTTCTCACTCAAAGGGTCTTACACAGGCTGGCTACGAGTCGGGGGCAAACACAAACAGCGCAACGTGTACACTCGGAAACAGTAGATCGTGGGGCATGGAGGAGGCCTGCCCGCCCAGCCGCCTTGGTGATCGGTGATCGCAGGGCACGCAGGAGCTGAGGGACAGCCACACCCGGTGGGACAGATGGGAGGACGGGCGAGACGCAGGGGCCATGGGCCACATGGCTGATGCAAACTCGTCTCTGGCCACAGCCCAGGCCTCGGAGGCTGAGGTGGTGGAAGAAGAGGTGGGAACTACTGTTCCGATCTGACAGCACGGCTACAATCAAGGAGTCTCACTCACAGACTACACGCACACGAGCTAACAACTCGGGCCGGGCTGGCAGCAAGGGCCGGGCTGGGGCTCAGGCCCAGGCAGGCACACGGCTCAGGGGGCCTGCAAGGCATGGCTCTTGGGTGACGGCCCCCTCCTGTGCGTCCCTTTTTCCGGCAGTCCCCACTCAGTGGGCAGCAAAGGTGGCTTTCTTCAAACTGAAATTGGACCAGTTGATGGACAGTCTTTGCCGGGTCTGTCGAGCAGAGTCCAAGCAGAACCTGCAAAGACAAAATGCTGGACAGTCACTGAAGGAGACAGGCACAGCCAGGCAGGAATTGAGCCAGGCTGACGCCCTGTGTTCTTGCTAGCTCATTGGGGGCTCAGCCAGGGCACCTGGAGGGGGCCAGGCTCCTGTGCAGGCGGCCACTGGGCCTGGGCCTTTTCTGCTGCCTTCTGCCATCACTTTCCACTGTGCTCGTTAGGGCTGGGCTCTGGGTGGGAGGGGTGCAGGCCCCTACCCCACCACAGGCCCAAGGGAGGCGTCTTGTTGGCCACAACCCTGCCCTTCTAAGGAGGCTGCATCTTAGACAAGGAGGAAGGGCCTTGGGTCACCGCTGCCCCTCTGAGGCGCCCGGAGATGGACACCTGCAGGCTCTGTTCCCTGAACAGGCAGTGAAGGCTACCACACCACAGCACAGCCTGCTGGGGCGCAGGGACAGGGTTGTAGCTGTGTTCCTCAGACAAGGGCAGGGCTGCAGAAGCAGGAAGCAGGATTAGAGGGTATGGCATCTCAGGCTTAAGCCATCACAGAGGCTGCGGGACACAGGACCCTGCAACAGCCCATCTGGGCAGCTACGCTGAGGCTGGGCAGCTACGCTGAGGCTGGGCAGCAGGGAGTCACACAGTCGCCCTGCAGCCCTAGGCAATGACCTGAGCTGACCACAGGGACAGATGTGCTTAGGGCAATAGGAGGAGCCTGAGTCTCAGGCAGAGGCACTGCAGTCCTCAATGGCTGATGGCACGGGAGAGCCACGGTTGGGCAGGCAACCTGGGCCTCACCTGCCACAGTGCCTGCTGGGGCCAGCACTCATTTTTTGCAAGGGACCAGTCAGTGCTGCAGGCCCCGTCCTATAGTTAGTTGTCCAACGTGCACACTGCACTTGTGGCCACAGCAAGCTCAACTCCAGGCAGTGAAGCCCCTGGCTTGCACAGCTGTAATGTGCCACATTTTGTTTTTTTTGCTGGGCTGGGGATTGAACCCAGGGCCTGCTACATAGCAGGCAAGTGCTCTGCCACTGTGATGCATCCATCCCAGCCCATTATGATTTTTTTTTTAAATTTTGGGGCAGGGTCTTGCTAAATTGAACTGGAGATCCCTGTCTCAGCTTGGATTATAGGCATGCATCCGCGCATCCAGCACAAGATACTCTTTTGTTCCCCAACTACTTTAATGTAAAATACTCCTGGGGTGTGCTGGGTCTGGTCCACAGCTGGGACCACATGACCAGGACCAAGCGTGGAAAGCTGAGGGTTCACGATCCCACAGCACGGTGTGCACGTGGTGCCCATGACAGTGAGGCAGGGCCACAGCCTCGCCCCCCTCCCTTCGGGCCATGGGCTGCCCTGCAGGTTCCCCTGCACAATGCTTTGGAAACAAACATGCTTTGTCCTGTTTCCCAGGCAACATTGGCCAATTTTTGTATTAAAAAAGGAAAGAACAATTTCTTTTATTTAAAAGCGCTTGCATAATTTCTGAAGTTCTCATCATTCCAGCTCTAATTTGGGGGCAGAAATCAGAATGAAATTGGAAATGGTGTTTGCTTAGCCGCGGTTCAGTCACCCAGCCACAAACCTTTGTCCAACTCAGCTGTGTGCTGACCACCCAGCAGCAGGGCGCCATGTCTCAGAGTCCCAATTCCCCTCCTTGGCCCCAGCTGGCCATGCCAAGCCTGTGACGCAACCTCTTTCACTTCCTCAAAGCTTCTACTTCTGCCTCTGCTGCTCCCCCAAATTGGCACACACCTCTGGCCTGACTGCCTGTGTTACTGTGGGGGGCCGGATCCCCACTCGCTTCTCTATACAGATACTGCTCACAAACATCAACCACATCTCCGCTCAGCACCATCCCAGAGAATCTCCAAAGAGTCATGTGCACCGGTGCACGCCTGAAGTCCCAGCACTCAGGAGGCTGAGGTGAGAGGGCTGGAACTTCGAGGCCAGCCTGGGATATATACACCAAGACCATACCTCAAAAAACTGAAAAATGAACAAACAAAAATCCAATTCAAAGCACAACAAGGCTTCCAACAAAGCCTCAAGCACGGCACGAAACCCATGAGACCTGTGCCCCACACTGGTGCCCCTGCACTGTCAGCCGTGGACTGAGTCACATGCACTAGGCACGCAGAACACGCACAAGAGGGTCCCAGGGCGCAGACTCGGCACTGCCCCGCCGTCCTCTGCGGGAGGCGCCACTCCCTGGCCCTCATGGTTTGTGACCTCCGCGTGCATCCTGCACAGCAGCCTGGCCATCTGCAGTGGGATCATCTCTCTCTGGCTTCTTCCCCAGTGGCATTTGTTCAGCTTGGGGGCCGTGTTAAGACACTGCAGAGCCCTGGCTGCTGGCCTCCTGGGTGGAACTGGGCATCCCGCAGCCTGCCGATTTCCTTCCCCAGTGCTGCCTGCTGGGGTCTACACGGGAGCAGGGCAAGGACCCTACGGCTCTACAACCCAGCAGGACAGAGCTTATGGCTGCTTCCAGTGGCTTCCTGGCCAGGCCGAGATGCCAGCCCCCTGCCTGCTAGTCCCATCCTGCAGAGCGACCCTGCTGGTTTCCAACTGGCTTTCCCACCCTCTTCTCTAATGTATCTTCACACTTTTTAGCATCCTTGTCATGTGCTGCAAATACACTTTAAGACCAATCCTTGATCTCAAAGTAGTATAATTTGTCAGTCTTGATCGACAAGCTCTCAAAGTGTTGCCCAACTAATCTAAAATTCCTGGGCTCAAGTGATCTTCCTGCCTCAGCCTCCTGGTAGGTAGCACCAGAGATGCACACCACTGTACTTGGCTGGTTTTTCCTTTTTTTTTTCTGAACTGAGAATTAAAGCCAACCATGAACTAGATCCCCAGACCCCCACCTTTAAAAAAATTTTGAGAAAGGGTCTTGCTCAATTGCTCAAAGCTGGGCGTAATAGTACATACCTGTAATCCCAGCCCTTGGAGGGTGAGGCAGAAGGACTGCCACAAGTTCGAGGCCAGCCTGGGCTACATAGTAAGACCCTTTCTCATCCCCCCCACCCCAAAAGCTCAGGCTGGCTCTGAACTAGAAATCTTTCCCTACTCTGATATCAGAAACATATTCATCTTGATTTTCTCCCAAATTGAAAGTTTTGTTTTATTGTTTTGTTCTTT